TATTTCTTCAGCAACTTCACTATGGAGACGTTTAATTCTAATTTTTTTAAATACATTTTCCAAATTGGTATTACATTTTTTATTAATTGTATAATTATTACCAAGATTTTTCTTCATTTTCTTTCTATTATTATTTTCTTCCTCTTTCCCTTTCTAATTTTACTAAATTTAAAATTGACAAAAAAAAAGAAATGAGAATTAATTTCCGTTTGAAATTTAATGAAAAGCGCTCTATCTAATTAGTATCTATTTGGCTAATTGCAATTTCAGAAAATGAATATCACATCATATATTAGTTTTCACATATATATATACATATATGTCGTTAAAGAACAAGCGTCCATGAAACGAGATGAAATTAACCTTAAATTAGTAAAGTTAAATTGACATTAGAAAAAAAAAATTTTAGGAAAAAAAAAATACTTTTCAAAGTTTAATAAGGGAAATTCAAAATCAACGCGCGTAAAGTCCAGGATCGATGAACATTGAACAAATTACATGCAATAGAACATCGAGAATCTACCTCACGTCTTTAACTAACTCGAACTACTGCTGGTTACTTGGTCGTCTGTTTTTAGTAAGGTTGTCGACCTTAAAGTGGAGAACTTTGGACCAATTTCTCTCACCCCCTACATATATATATAAGCAAATTGTTCTTCCTCCCATAATTAACTACATTTTTGTTGAAAAAAAAAACTAATACAATAAAATTTTTTATTTTTTTTTTTTTCACTGATTTAATAATTATTATTATTAATTATTTCTTTGTTAATATAAAAAAAATTATAATAAAGAAATTATAAAATAAATATATAATAATAATTATAATAAATAAGTAATAAGTAAGTAATAAATAAATAATAAATAAATATAATAAATAAATTGAATATAAAATATTTTTTATAAAGTAAATATAAAAGAAATTAATTATTTCTGTAATTTTTGAATAATTTTTGAATAAAAAAAAAATAATTGAAATATCAAGAAAATAAAATAGAGAAAGCAATTTTTTGTTCTACTTTATAAAATTCACGCAACTATTTTTCCATTTTGTGATTTCAATTTTTTTTTCATTCACCATATATCTATAATATGAGCAACAACGCCCCAAAGGCACGAATCAAGAAACAACCTTTATATGAACTTCAGTAAACCTGAACTTGTATAAAGTACTTTCAAAACTTTCAGTGTCGTGACTATAAATAACATCAGACACACACCATGCTTCGAAATATTGATTATGTTTATTATAAAAACATATAATATTTCAATTAAGCGCTCAATTTATTTCTAAAAAAAAAAATGTTTAAACAAAATTTTTAAACACTTTTCTAAATAAACTTTTAAAAAAAAATTATTTTTTTTTATTAGAAACTATTTGCGTTTATAATAATGACATATTTGCTTTATGTATATATATATTTATTGAATATGGGGCCAAAGCAATCATATTCTTATATAGTATGGAGGATCAGTAGTCACGAGTAATAAAGGAGGAAAAAGGGATGAATTTTATTTTCAGACGTGTGGTATAGAGAGCGAGAGAGAGAGAGAAAGACGGCAGACTGAGTAAACTGGGTTATCCCAGGACAATTCCCGCAGGGTAGCCAACTTTCATGGTAATAATATTTCCGTATGGTTGTAATCCTTGCTTTCGACTCTTATCGTCGCCATTTTAATCGACGATGCATTTACTTTTTTTTTAAGTTTTTAAAAATTTATTTATTTTTGTCGAAAAAAAAATTGCTTTTACTATAAAACTTGTTTTCACTTTATATATATATATATATATATATATATATACAAGTCGTAAAATAAAATAGGTAAGAACAATAAAATACTGTATACATGTATAATAAAGAACAAAGGCAAATATAATACGATTTTAGTAAAAGTACATAATAATAAAACAGACTAAAACCACTGAATAAAGAAAAATGGAGAATTGTAAATAAATATATATATGTTGAGATAAAGGGAATGAAATATATATTTTTGATAAACAAACTTGAATGTGCTATTTAAATATATATTTTATAAATACTTTTTTAAAAATAATATTTTATAAATATTATTTTATAATTACTGTATTTAAATAATAATAATAGTATTTAATTTACAATAAATTTTTTAATAAATATAAATGTAACAAAACTATAACTAAATAAAATTATTTTAACAAAAAAGTTTGCTTGTGTATAAATTTTTTTTTTTTTTATTGTGGAAAAATATAATTGTTCTTCTGCGGTTTCAGAATTCAATCGAGGGTGAAAATTGACGGAAAAAAAAAATTTGATATTATTCACGTGAACAATTTTCAAACAGAAAATTTACAAGTATCGAAGAGGTCAAACGTATCTTTTTTAGAAAAGGATTTTATTGAAGTAGGGAAACTACGATTCTTTGGAACATAAATTCTCATGCTTCCTGGGAAAAAGCAATTTCAAAGGAGTTTAAATTCTTCAAGTATTCTTTCACCCCCCTCCCTCTTTGCAAAATGAAGACAACCCTGAGAAATGTATAAATATAACATACGCCCTTTTTATATATTTTACTTTTTAATTTTTTTATACCGAAAAAAAATCTTTACGAAATTTTTATATAAAATTTTTTTAATTAATTATATTATTTATAATTATTATTATTATTATTATTATTATCATTATTATTACAATATTATATATAAATGTAAAAAGAAATAATTCGTTTCGTATTTACAAAAAAAAAATTATCTCGTGTTCTTTAAAAAAAAGCGTTTCTAACAAGGGATGTATTTCACAGGTGATATATCGATCCACCAGGGTTATTTTCGCCTACCCATGCACAAGGAAGATGTCTCCTTTGAGGGAAAATAATTTTGACATTTGAAATGTTTTAAAAAAAAAATGTAAATACAAAAAAGGAAACGAAACTAATTTTTTTTAGTATTATTTTTTCTTTTAATAAAGAATTATTATTTTTTTTTTTGATTTCAATTTTAGAACAAAAAGTTCTTTTAACAATAATTAAAAAATATTTTAGCAAATATTTTTTTTTTTTTTAAACTTTTTGAGAAACATTTTTTGATCTACTATATCAAAATTTTGAAAGTACCTACATTATTTATTGAGATAAAATGCAAATTGTAAATTGATTATTAATTATTTGTCTGTAAACAATCAAATATATTAAATGGGTTATTATTGTTATTATTCTATACCAGACGTGAATAATATTTGATTAAACGATATATATATATATATATATATATTGTGATTCGACTTATCAATATAATTCTTATCCAATTTCTCATCTTTTCAAGGCAAGCAACTGCGTATTCATATACATAATAAACTTTGTTGTTAACTATGATTAATATGAAAACTTTTTAACATTATCGAGATGCACGCAAATTAATTTAAAAATATTATATATTTTTTTTTTATTTTACTGGAAAAATTCGAGGTCATGTGAAAAAAAAAGTTCGTGCAAATAATAAATGTGAAAAAAAAATTTTTTACCTCTCTTTAAAAAAAAATTTTAATTAATTCAGGTACATTGTAAATATTACAATATATACCTATTGATATTATACCAAAAAAAAGATATTGGAAAATAATGAAAAACAAATTAAAAAAAAAAAAAAAGAATAAATAATAGAATTAATAATAATAAAATTAAAAAATTTTTTTTTAAAATATTTTGTGAAATTTCAATAATCAGTTCAATCTTATCTTGTCAAAGGGATTAACGACAGTTTTCTTATACTATTATAATTATACAGATTAGATGAATACCGGACGAAACTTTTTTATCTATATTACAAGAAAATCGTGTCTTTATTTTTTTCATATCATTTCATCTTCTTTTTTTTCTATCTCTTCCGTTTCATCGCATTATAGACAAAACTTTTTTAGAATTTTCAAATAATCAAAAAAAAAAAAACTATGCTCTTAAAATTTTCATTCATTTATCTCAAATCGTAAAATTAAATATTTGAAATAAAAATTTTAACTTTAAAAAAAGTTTTATTTATATATATATATATATATATATATATATATAAGAAATTTAAGATTTAATCACAAAGATATCGCGATTTCATATTCATAATGAGTTCATAAATGAAAGTATAATTATCAGAAATTTTCATTATAATAAATCTTGCTAAGAAATCAGACAAGAATTGTCTGATCGACCTGATTCAAAGAAACGTTTTGCTCCACATTTCTCTGATAATGTATATATAATTATATTATCGTTTTTGATTAATTTTAATGACAATTAATATTTCAAAATTAATGAAAAATCATTTTTTTTTTGTTGATATATTTGTAAGTAATCCAAAATGATTTTTGTTTATTGATTAATCGTAAAATTTTAATATTAATTTAATTTAAAATTTTTTTTTAATTTTAAATATTTTTTATATGTTTCAATTTTTAAAGAAATTCTATTTTAAAATTTTAGCATAGAATTTGTGAAATATCAATGTCTTATATAGATTCAATAAATTTTATAAAAGGCGCATATATATATATGTGAAATAATTTCTAAATGTCGATATTCAAGGAATATAAATGTAAATTTTATATATATATTCATATACGGAATATTGTCATTTCACACCTTACGATTCGAGTATTTTATTTAAAAAATATTATATGCTTCAAATTGTATTAAATTTCTATTTTTTTTTTTGCTCAAAAATTTAATTTCTATAAAATGGAAAATTTAAAATAGGTTCAAAAAATAGATTCAAAAAATAAATTTAAAAAATAAATATAATAAAAAAATATAAGTAAAATAATAAGTATAAATCAATTTTAATAAATACTTCCTATGATTAGATTTATGAACAGTTTCACTAATTTTGAATAATAATATTAATTTATTATAAATTATTTTAATAATTTTAATTCTCGTATTTATTTTAATTATTTTTTTAATAATGCTCCTTTTTTGATACGTCTATAAAATGGAAAAATTGATATCTTAATTCAATAAATGATTTAGAACGCTTCGAGAGTATATAAAAGACACTTGTGAAGTTTTTTCTCCTCTTAATTGTTTACATTTCATTGCAATATTAATCATCATGATACGATTTTTTTTAATTAGTATCTTTATAGCTGTTGTAATTGGCAAGTACTATTAAAATTTTAATTTTTCAAATAGTTTTCTCCCTTTTTTCCTGTCTCCCCTCAAAAAATTCTATTTCTCTCTTATTTTACAAATATTTTACATTGTAAAACTATTTTCCCATTTTACTGCACGTATTAGTTGCAAAGAAAAAAAAAAAAAAAATGTCACCGCAGAGATAAATTTTCCAAAGAGAAAAACAAGTCAACTCGGACAATCTCTAATAAATTTCACAAGAGACGCGAGAGAGAAAAAATAAGGGGCGAAAAATACTCTTCTTTTTCTCTAAAAAAGAAAAAAAAACATAAAATCAGAATGTTCGATTTTTTTTTAAAATTATTTATTATAATTTTTTTTTTTTTTCTAATTTCAGGAAAAAATCTCAATGGTCGAATAATTGGTGGTGAAAAAATTGAAATAACAAAAGTACCATATCAAGTGAGCTTACAAAAATACACAAGACATCATTGTGGTGGGAGTATTATTGAAAAAAATTTTGTCCTAACAGCAGCGCATTGTGTTTTTGAATTAATACCAAAAATTTATAGAATTCGTGCTGGTTCATCAAATTGTAATGAAGGCGGTAGTATACATCAGATTATTAATATTATCAGACATAATATTAGTTTCACCGATAGTGGTTCACCATATAATGACATTGCCTTATTAGAAGTGAGACCTTTTTTTAAATTTGATGAGACACGTGAGCCAATTTCTCTTAATACAATGAAAAAAGAAATTCCCATTGGTAGTAAAGCACTTGTAAGCGGTTGGGGTAGAACACGTACTATCACCACTCCAATTTATCTCGAAGCAGTTAATGTGCCAATGTTGAGTAAAAAAGAATGTAAAAAAGCCTATCAAATATTGGAAACATTTCCTAAAGGTCAAATTTGTGCAATGAACATTAAAGGTGGTAAAGATTCATGTCAGGGCGATTCCGGTGGTCCATTGACATTCAATGATCAATTGATTGGTATTGTTTCCTGGGGAAGTGGTTGCGGTGTGATTGGTAATCCCGGAGTTTATACCGAAGTCGCTTATTTCGCCGATTGGATTCAACAAAACATTAGATATTTTAAAAGTAAAGGAAAATAATATTTTTTTTGTATTTATATTGTTTGAATAAAAATAGATAATTCAATCTCTAAAAAAAGGGGAGTTATTTTTAGAATGTGAAAAAAGATTTTGTAAATTGATGCACAGAAATCTTATCAAATATGTAATTAAAATTTTTAGAATTCTGGTTATTAATTACGATTTTTTAATATCTCGTTTTTATTGTCACAAAAATATGATAATTATTTCTAGATTAGATTAATTTTATATTAATAATTATATTAATCGAGATTTTTTGCAAGTATAAATAAAATTTGATTAAATATATTTGACAATTAAGTGTGCCTTCTTACAAGTCAAACATGTTGAGAATAATTGTGAGTCTTGTTTTATTGACATTCATCGCTGGTAAGTTTATTTTTGGAAATGGAAATTTTTTATAGAATTAATATTTTTTGAATAAAATTTCATTAAAAATTAATTTAAAATTATCCTCTTTTTTTAGCGAGTCCAACACGATATCTGGACGGTAGAATAGTTGGAGGCAAAGATATTCCAATTGAACTAGCTCCCTATCAAGTTAGTTTATTTGTGGACGATAGATTTTTATGTGGTGGTAGTATAATTTCAAAAAATTATGTCCTAACGGCAAAACATTGTATTGCCAATAGAGATGTAAAAAATTATTTTATTCACTCTGGAAGTGCTGAAATTCATAATAATAATACAAAAATTCATCAAACAGTGAGATTTATTGAATATAAAACAACGAGAATAATTGAAAAAAAAATACCCGATATTGCATTAATTGAAGTGACGCCACATTTTGAATTTAATAAAAAACAAGCGGCAGTGCCACTTTTTAATTCGAGAGAAGAAATTTTACCGGGAAGTATTGCATTTGTCACTGGATGGGGTAGAACAATTGAAAATTTGAGAAAAACTCCAAAATTATTACAAGGTGTATTTATACCAATGATAACAAAACAAAAATGTGATATGGCTTATAAAAGTCTTGGTGGTATTTCAAAAGGTGAAATTTGTGCTGCACATGCAAATGGTGGTAAAGATGCATGTCAAGGTGATTCAGGTGGTCCATTAACAATTAATGGTCGATTAGCTGGTATTGTTTCATGGGGAATTGGTTGTGCCAGAAAAAATTTTCCTGGTGTTTATGTTGAAGTTGCTCATTACACTGAATGGATAAACGAAATTATTCAAATGTAAATTGTATATACAAAATTATTTTAATTTATTTCAAATTTTTTTTTTATATTATTTATTTAAATTATTATGATTTATGATAATTTTATTAAATTATTTATTTATATGTTTATATAATAATTATTGAGAATATTAATATTTTTTCTAATAAATTGTTTTTAATAACAATTGCTTTTTATTTTTGTTGTCCTCACCAAGAACAATGATCATTTATCTATATTAATTTATAACAATTATTTTATTATTAATAATTATTCCTAATTAATAATAATTAAAAAAAAATTTTTATTATACATTTTATAATAAACATTGTTTACGTTTATGTGAAAACAAATTTTATTCATAATAACAATAATGAAATTTATTCGAATTGACGCAATTGGAAATAGTGATGGTCGAATAATTGGTCGCATGGAAATTTCAATCGAGTAAGTTCCCCACCATAAGTCAATTTTGATCGAAATGATGATCGACATAACTGTGGTGGAAGCATAATTTCCAGTACATATATTTTGACAGCTACAAACTGTATTTCCGTTTTCAACATAACAAAATTTATTGTCCAAAAACAGAGGATCGTTCGCAAATTATAAATCATCACAATAAACGAAAACATAACTTTTGTTTGTTAATTTATATAATTAATTACTCTAAATAAAATTTTTATATAAGAACAGATGTAAAAGTTTAAAAAAATTTCTTTTCTTTTAATAAAAAAAAAAAAAAAAAAAAAATTCTTTGGAAAATAAAATTTTTGCACTTTGTTAAACAAAAAAGTAAATGTTAAGAAATAGTAATTTGTTTCAAACAATAAGATTCCCAGGATGCAGATACATTTACCGTGAGATAAAAGATGCTTAGGATAATTCTGATGGACCTTTAGGTTATTGATGGATAACTCGAGAATAGTTGCAAAGGGATTATTGTCTCAAAGGGAAACAAAAGTTTCAATTAAATTATAAATATAGAAAATAAATTCTGTTTCTGTAAAATGACTTAATTTACTAATTACCAATAGTATATTATTATAATTATTAATTCTCATTAATTATTATTAATTAATTATTAAATAATAAATATTTATTGTATTTTTTAAATAAATTATTGAATATAGAAAGGAGAAATTATTGATCAACAATAATAATTATTAATAATAATAATGAAATAAATTATTAATTGCTCCGAATAAATGAAAAATAATTATCATGAATATAATTAATATTGTATATGTTGGATAAATAATTTATTTGAATAATTATACTTTAGTTTCTACATTACCAGTTCCTTTATTTTCTTCTAATTATAATATTATTCAAGCTGAATGAAACTCACCTGAAACAAAAGAAAAAGATAATATTTTAGTTTTATGTTTAAATTATAAGTTGAATAATTTTAATTATTGTTTAACTTTATTCATTTCCCTTAACTCTTACAAAACTTTGTAATATAAAATAAATAAAAACTTTTTTTTTTTTTAAAGTTGTATAGGATAATTAAACATTGTTTATATTACAAAATATAATTTTACTCGCCTCTAAATGTTTACGATTTCAAAACGTTTCCGAACATTTGCTTAACGGGAATTACTCTAATTAAGGTGAAATAATTACGCTGTTTAGGTATATTATACACACTAATTTCGTCAAGGATAAAACTGAAAAATATAAATGTAATGTCGAAAATATTAGGAAAATAAATATATATATACAAATTGAAATTACTAAATTTTTTCTTTTTTTTTTAGTAAATTTTTTGTACTTTTTAACGATAAAATATATTTTTTGAAAATATTTTCATTCTTGGATAACTTTTATCGACTTATTTTAATAAAATGCGACATTTTTTTTTTCATTTGAAAAAAATGTAAATAAAATACATTTTTTTAGTATAAAATTTATATCTTCTTCAGATCTTCTTCAATTCAATTATTTAACAAATTTTGAACTAAAATGATTCTTCACTAAATTAATTATTTTTAATAATTTTAATGAAATCACAAATTCAATTATATCAAAATTATTTTTTCAATTAAAATTTTTATGAAATTTAACAATTGTTTATAATTTAAAAAAAATATCACAATAAAATTGAATTATTTTTTAAAAATTTCAATTCAAAATAAACTAAAATTCAATTATTACCCGAAATTTTAATTCAAAATCAATTAAAAATCCAATAATTATTCAAAATTTTCAATTTAAAATTTAATTATTTACCAAGTTTTCAATTTAAAATTAAATAAAATTCAATTATTTTCTAAAACTTCTATTCAAAATTAATTATCCAAATTTTTAATCAAAAACGAACTTCAATTAAATTATTATCCAAAATTTCAATTAAAATTCAATTATTTCCCAAAAATTTTCAATTTAAAATCAAATAAAATTTCATTATTCTCAAAAATTTGAATTCAAAATTAATTGAATTTATAATAATTTGAATTTAGAAGCATCTAAAATTTAATTATTCCTAAAATTTTCCATCGAAAATTTTTTTTTTTTGAAATTTAATAATTTCAATTATAACTCTAAGGAAATTCAATTATTTTTAACTATTTTAATAATATTCTTTGAAAATTCAACTATCTAAAATCATTTTTCAATTAAAAATTATTTTCAAATTATTGTATTTTGTCCGCATTTTCTAATAAATTTTTAGTGAAATCATCTAAAATTTTAATTAAAAATCACTTAAAGTTTCAATTAATTTCAAAAATCTCAATTTTAAATCTTTGAAAATTCAATTAAATTTAAAAAATGTTTTCCAAAAATTGTTTGATAAATTATTTTTAGTTCTGTAAAATTTAATAATTGTTTGAAAATTAACAAAATATCTTTTGAAATTTAATTATTTCTAAAAATTTTAACTTTAACCCTTCGAAAAGGATTATTATTAAAAAAAAAAAATTTTTTATTTAAAAATTTGTAAAATATTTTTGTTAAAATAAAAAACAAATCCACTTTTTTTTTGGAATATAAATCGACTAAATCGACTTTTTTTTGTGTCTTTAAGTTGATTCGAGGCCTGTGTTTTTATAATTAATATTTAATAGGTATTCGTTGGCCTCTGGTACCTTAAAAATAAATTTTTAAAAATAAATTTTTTTCAAATTACTATCTTGTACGAAATTTTCTGGCGCATCTTTTTTCTCATCATAAATTTTTTGTACAATTTTTGAATCAATATACAACTTTAAAAAAAATTTCGTTGGTAAACGTTGTGTATTTCAGCTTCGTGAATTGAATTTTCGAATTTGAAATTTTAAAGAAACTTATTCCGAAATTTGGAAACACAATTATACAACTTTGGCAAAAATGAGAAAAAGAATTGTCAAAATTTGACACGTCATAAGATTACTATTGAAAAAAAAACACGTAATATCAGAAAAGGCCAACTTCAAGTTAGGACAGAAGGACAGATCAAGCATTTTATTATTATATAATTGATTGTTATGTTACATATATAGATGACAAAAATATATATGCACTATGCTTTATAAATTCTCGTTATTTTTTAGAATTAAAAAACGATAAAAAAAAAGAAAGTGGTTCAATACGATAAAATGTTCCAATTTCTCTTGCTTTCAATCATATTTTTCCATCTCGACAACACACTGCGATAAGTTCAGTGAAAAAGAAAATGGAATCTACCTCGCAAATGAATTACTCATCAAGTGAAATCTTGTTAATTTTAATAATATTAAAAAAAAAAGTCCATAAAAAACAAAATCGATCCATTTATATATATAAACTTCTTATACAATTTGACATGAGAATTCAATATATCATCTACTAATTTATTTAAATAATTAATATCAGATTCAGATTTCATCTTTTTTTTGAAATACGAAAATAATAATTTTTTTTAATTATAAAAAAAATATTTTTTCCAAAAAGTTATTTTTGTTTTAAAAATCAAAAATCTTTTTGTTTCGCTCTTTATGAATATAATATATATATATATATAAATGAAAAACTATTATTTCAAATAGTCCAAATGAAAGTCGTAAATTTTCATCGTTGAAGTAAGTCGTTCGACTCCCAATGGACGAATGGTGTGTGTGATGGTTGAGACACGATCAGCATATTATAAAAAAAATTTCCATATCAAATGCAAGTTCTCGGTTTTGGAATTATAATGTGAATGCGAGGCAATAACATTTCGGAAAATTGGATCATTACAGCTGCCCACTATGTGTGGATTATCGCAGACAGAAAATGATTATCTCTTTTCAGCTTATATACGAATCAGTACACAAAAAAGGTGGAATCTCTTTATTTTTATATTTTATAACATAAACTTGTTTTACATCAAAAACCTTTTTTTTAAAAATCGTAACACCAAAAATTAAATATTCCTTTTTTGATAAAAAAAAAAACTCTTGTTTTTGTGACAAAAAAGAATTGTCAACTTTTTTTTTTTTTTTTAATCAAGATAATGATATCGCTCATGGAACATTGGCAAATATCACCGGATGGAGAGCAATTTCCGTGGGGCAAATCTGATGCATATATTCTTCAAACTGTGACTATTCTCATGGAGGGGAAAAAAAAAAAAATTGCAATTCAGCTTATGACGAAGCATTTGGAGGGATTCCTAACGGTCAAATTTTGTGTCTCTTGTCCTTTATAAATGGCATAAAGAATTCGTGCCAGGGAGATTCCGGTGGTCCTTTAAAATTGTAAATGGTCCATTGGCTGCGCAATAGTGTTTTGGGACACAGAGGATGTGCCAAACCTAAATTTCCTCCCGTCTAGAAATAAAACTTCTTTCACATAAAGATATAGGAATTTAAAATTCTCATTTAGGCAAAAAAGAAATATATATTCCTCCAAAAGCTGAATAAATATTTATTTACACAAAATAAATATTTTTTTTTTTGTTAATTGAATTAAATTGTTTTCTTTATTGATCTATAAGTTTAAATTAATATATATATATATATATATATATATATATATATATATATATATATACAATATATAATATCAATTAAATGCCTATATAAAACGAAAAAAAATATAAACACACAAACACAATATCAATGAAAGAAGTTTTATAAATTCGAGACAGGTTTGGAGAATTTAATTTTCCATTGATTTTCAGTTATACGTGAAATACCTTACAGTGTAAATACCTTACAAGAACGATTCACTAAACACTAACACTTTCAAAATCTAAACAATATATAAAATGAAAAATATGTTTAAGTTTCTCTTAATAATTGGATTATTTGGTATATTTTCAACAAATGGTAAGTTTTTTCTTTTTTTTTTAATGCTATATAAATGGAATTTATTATTTTCATACTAAACTATTTTTTTGCACTTTTTGCAATTAATTATTTTATTTTTTATCATACTCTATTCCAATAATAATACAAAATAATTTAATTATATTGAAAAAATAATTAAAATAAAAATAAGTTTTTTTAAAATTTTTTTTTGAACTAAAATAAAAAAAAAAGTCACAATTTGTTTGATTTTAATAATATAATAATAATACAATTATAATACAATAACAATATAATAATAATATAGTAATAAATAATAATTTATTTTTAATTAATTTAATAAAATAATCTAATTAAGTACCTAATTTTTATCACTTTTTACACACAGAGAAATGATATATTTGTTCCGCAGCCTAATAAATATTTATTTGATTTAAATAGCACAGAAAATTAAAAGTCATTAAAATAAGCTGCAACGCTTCTTATTTTAATCCAATTTTGCTTATTTTAATCTATTTTGGTATTAAAATAAGCAAAATTGGATTAAAATAAGAAGCGTTGCAGCTTATTTTAATGCCTTTTAATTTTCTGTGAGATAATTTTATTTACACCAAAAAAATATACTAGTACACCCAGAAAAATGATTTATTTGGACCAAATAAAATATATTTGAGTTAAATAAATGTATATTTGTCTCAGAGCCTACTAAATTATTTATTTGGCGAAAATAAAAATTTTATTTATCAGAAATAAATTTTTCTTTGGCTCAAATAAATTTTTTATTTCAATGAAATAAAATATATTTGCAACAAATAAATGAGTTAGTAGGAGACAAATATACCATTTCTCTGAGTGTAGGCTGTGAGACAAATATATACGTTTTATTATATATTATATTTGATTCAAATAAAACATTTCTCTGGATGTAATAAATAATTATTTTTTTAATTTTTCAGTACTTTTTAATTTTTTTTCCATAATAAAAATGATTAATAAATTTTTGTATTATTTGCAGCAAGGCAAATAATTTACGATTATAATGAAAGAATTGTCAATGGTTACAATATTGATATTAAAGATGCACCATATCAAATTGGTATATTCAATGGATATTCATTTATATGCGGTGGAACAATAATTTCTATAAAATATATAATCACAGCAGGGCATTGTTTAGCTGATATTGTCAATAATAATAATCTAATTATACAAGCTGGATCAAGTGAATTAAAAATTGGTGGTAGTTTTCATATTGCAATTAATGTAATAATTCATGAAATGTACAATGAATCAACAATGGAACATGATATTGCTCTCATTGAAATTTATCCATTATTATCATTAGACAAATTTCGTCAGCCAATTGGACTTTTGAAAAATAGTGAAATTTTAAAAATTGGCGATATTGCATTAATCACTGGTTGGGGTGATACCATTGAGAATGGTGAATTATCATTAAATCTTCAAGCTGTACGTGTACCGATAATTAGTCGTGAATTATGCCAACAGCAATATAATAATAATTATGAGGATATTGAGAATATAATTTTTATGAGTCAAATATGCGCTGGTTATCCAGAGGGTGGTAAAGATTCATGTCATGGTGATTCTGGTGGTCCAATGGTTGTTCATGGACAACTTACGGGTATTGTTTCATATGGCATAGGTTGTGCAAGAGCTGCACTTCCTGGAGTTTATACCCATGTGGCTTATTACATTGATTGGATTGAGAAAAATACGAATTTGAAATTTTAAAAGAAAAAATTATAATCTAAAAAAACCTGATGGTTAAAAATCATTATTTATTATTTATTTAATTTATTTGTAAATTGTTAATTATAAAAAAAAAGAAATTATAAAATTTCATTATATTTGTGTATTAAAAAAATATGCAATAGATTTTTTTAATTTTTTTTTTTTACTTTAATCATATTTATTCATAAATCACGTACAAATAAATAATCATCTAAAATTCTCAGTCAAGGAGAATGATTAGATTTAATAGATTAAATTACATATTGATAATTTGTGAATCAAATTTCATTGAAGATAACAATTTTATATAAAAAGGGAATAATTTCAGTTGTTCTTCACTTTTATTAAGTAGTTGCCATTAAAAATGTTTAAATTTCTTTGCTTCGTTAGTTTTTTCGTCCTCGCTAGTGGTGAGTTTTATTTCTTTTATTTTATTCACTAAATGATAATAGAAAAAAAAATTATTTAAATAAATTTTTTAACAAATATTTATTAATAATTGTAAGAAAATTAATAAATAAAGGCAAAAACAAATTTTTATATTTTTTAATAATATTGTCGATTTTTTTTTTTTTTAAATTGCGTTTAAAAAATTAATTAAATAAACGAAAAAAGTTTATTCATAATTGTTTAATAAAAACTATTGGATATGAAAAAAAAAAGAAATATTTTTTTCTTAACTGATTAATCTGTTACAATTTTCTTATTTTGCCTTATTATTGTTTATATAAGAATTTTATAAATAAAATAAAATTTCTAAATTGTTTTTAATAAATATTCTTAAATAATTAAACATTCGCAAGAAAGTAGAAATTTTATTTTATACTTTATTTTTTATTTGAATTAAATAAAAAATATATTTCTCTTAGAGCCTAATAATTTTGTTTTAAAAATAAACAATTTTTAATTTGGCACAAATAAATTTTTATTTAACACGAAAATTTTATTCAGTACAAATTTTATTTAGCGCATATAAAAATTTTAATTGAAATTAAATAAAATTTATTTATAACAAATTAATTTTTTTTTTGTAAATAAAACTTTTTTTCAACAAATTTCACGCACACAAAAGGCCTTAATTCTTTTGTTAACATAAAATTAAGAATTTATTTAACTAAAATTTAAATTTCAATTATTTTCTTCTTCTTTTTTTCACTAAAAAAAAAAATAATCTCATTTTTCTATTTACAGCGAGTCCATTCCTTCGACTCGATGGAAAAATTGTTGGCGGTGACGAGATAGACATCACAAATGCACCATATCAAGTGAGTTTATATATGAGAGGAAACTTTTTTTGCGGTGGTTCTATAATTTCGGAAAATTATATTCTCACCGCTGGACATTGCTCAAGATATAATACTGATGCATATACAATTAGAGCTGGTTCAAGTTATATTTATAAAAATGGTAGCGAACATAATGTAATTGAAGTTATCAATCATGAAAACTTTGGTACAATTGATGGAATTTTGGCTAATGATATTGCACTAATGAAAGTTGATCCACCATTTCAATTGGACGCAACTCGTCAAACAATTAAACTTATGGGCAAAGGAAAAACATTAGCAGCTGGTCTTAATGGTTTAGTTTCCGGTTGGGGAAGACTCACTGAAGGTGGATTAGCACCAAGAAAATTACAAGGTGTTATTGTGCCACTTATTAGTAAAAAATCATGCCAACAACAATATTCATTTATGGGTAGAATTCCTGATGGACAAATTTGTGCCGCATTACCACAAGGCGGTAAAGATGCATGCCAAGGTGATTCTGGTGGTCCTTATGTTGTTGGAAATTCTCTTGCTGGTATTGTTTCATGGGGTGTAGGTTGTGCAAGACCAAAAATGCCTGGTGTTTATACTGAAGTTTCACATTACAGAGATTGGATCGAAAAACATTCTGGACTATAAGAAAACTTAAGAAAAAAAAAAAAAAAAAGAAAAAACAATACCAAAGTATAAATTTCAAGTACAAAATTTGAAGAGCATTTAGATTTTCTTCAATTAAGATTATAATTTTAAATTAAGTTTAGTCACTAGTGTAAAAAAATCAAATTTCTGTAAATAAATTTTCAATAAAAATTATTATAATTGTATTTTGATTAATACCATTTTTGATCGAGATTTTTTTTTTTAATTTCAACATTGAAATTATATTTTTGCAAGTAGAAGAAAATCGCCTCGAGTGACCTAAGCCGATCAATAAAGTCTGATTAGATTAAATGATTTATTCGAGCGTAACGAAATTTTCGATGCGAATCGCACACGTGCTCAAGATAACATTATTTTCTTATATATAGAGAGAGAAAATATTTCAGTTTGCCATTAAGATAATGAAAGAATATAAAAAATTGTTAAATTAATAATTTACATGAGAAATATGTCTTGTTCTCCATTTTCTGACTATAATAGGGATAAAATTTATTTGTAATCGATTGTGAATATCAAATTAATTTTAAATTTTTATTTTATACGAAAATTTAAAAGAAAAAAAAAAAAACTAAATAAATCTTGGCACAATTCTTGGATTATTTCGGTTGGTGAGAACATAAGCCAGAATGATTTTGGTGGTCTCTTTTTTGATCGTTAAAAGGACTTTCGTCTGGCGTCGTTTTCTTGAAAGATAAGATTGTGTGAAACTTATTTTTCTTTCACTGCAGTGAAGCTGTTTATTGTTACAAAATTTAAAAAAAAAAGGAGTCATTTGATGAAGAAAGTGTTTATTTTAAATCCTATTAATAAAATAGCAGTTTTTTTTTATTTGAAATAACTCAAGTAGAAATTCGATAACAATTATTATAATTATGCTCCAATTTTTATTTTTCTCAAAGGTTAATTCAAAATACATTTTTTTATGTATATTTTATAATAAAAAATACTTTATTATTAAAAAAAAAATACTGCAAAATTTCAATATTTTAAAATCTTATTTCAAATAAAATTTCATAAAAAGAGTATTTCATCTTTTAGTGATTTATTTTTTTTCTAATATTTTCATAATCCCATCTATCATCCAGAATTAACTGAACTACTTAAATGAAAAGATCTAATTTCACTTAAATTCGTTCTCCGATAAAAATGAATGTCCAAATATTCCATTTTTCAAGAATTTATAAAATTGAATTTAACTTCTTTTTTTGTATATATATATATAAATATTTAAATCACATATCTAATAATAAATATTTGTCTGACTAAAAAACTAATGAAACCAAATAAAAAAAATCGTTTCTTTTAATTATTTCATTTATTAACAAAAAAGAGTGTTTTATAAAAAATATTTTTTCAAACGACATCCATTCATTTTTAGATTGGAAGCTAAAAATTTTTAGATGCTACAATTTTTTGTTTTCTCATTTTATATATTAATAAATTCATATTCTATATAAATATGAAAAAAAAATTTTTTTTTTGATCAAAGACCAGCATTCTTAATGATCCAATCTTTATAGGCAGCAACTTCTGTATAAACACCTGGATATCCTTTTTTGGCACATCCATTACCCCATGAGACAATACCAGCTAATTTTCCACCAATTGTCATTGGACCACCTGAATCACCTTGACATGCATCTTTTCCACCTTGTGGATAAGCGGCACATATTTGACCCTCAGGTAAACCACCAAATCTTTTATAAGCCTCATGACAAACTGATTTTGAAACAACAGGAACATCAACTGTTCTTAAAACTTCTGATGTTTTACCACCTTGTTTTATTGTACCCCAGCCGGTTATTGTTGCCAATGAACCCTCAATAGCCTCTTCACCTTGTTCAAATAATTGTATTGGCTTTCTTGTTGCACCCAATTCCAATGGTGTTTTTAATTGAATTAATGCCACATCATATTCGGGAATTCCAAATTTATTTGTCTTAAAATTTTCATGTTGAATTACTTTTGCAACTGGATGTAATGTACCACCTGTATTAAAATTTGTACTTCCCGAACGAACATTAATCCATTGACTGGGATATTTTGTACAATGTCCAGCTGTTAGAATCCAATTTTCAGAAATTATACTACCACCACAATAACTAAAACCATAAGCTTGCAGTGAAACCTGATAGGGTACTTCTTCAATTGTTGTTGGATTTCCACCAACTATACGTCCATTTGGTGTAAATGGATTTATACCAACAAAATCACGAATTGGATCCGCTGTTTTCGGAAAAAAAAACAGAATTTTGTTAATTTATTTTCTATATTAAAATTATTAAAAAATTATCCAATTTTTAGAAAAAATGAAAATTTTACTAAAACTAGAAAATAAAAAATAAAATTTAATAATAAATAAATAATTTGCAACACTTCTAGAATTTAATAATCGATATTCATAAACCATTTCACGACTATAATTAATTTTGCATGTTATTTTATATAAAATCCAAGGGAATATTAATATATTCATTATATAATTCTGAGGAATACTAATTTTACAAAATTTGTTAGCATCGAACATGAATTTGAAATTAGACAAAAATTATTAATTAAATTATATATTATTAATATTCATGGGAAGATTGATTTATTTACAAATAAAAAACAGAATCGTAATATTATTATATTATTAATTATTAATAATAATATTATTTTAATAAAAAAAATTTATTTTATTTTAATATTTAAACAGTGATTGATTTATTTAAATATAGAAAAAACGGTAATTAATCTATTAATTTTTTTTTTCTTTTTTTGAAAAACTAACCATTAGAAATTGCCAGAAGAAAAGAAAGTACAAAATATCCCAACATGTTGTATTAAGCACTGTTGAAAGTTCACTTGTTGTTTCTCATTGAAAATAATGTGAAATTTATACTGAATTTGTAATCCAATTTTGTGATTGATAGAAAACAATTAATCACCATCAAAAAGATAGCTATAAATTGTAAAATCATTTTCAGAATTGAATTAAATTTTAATATATATATATAGATTTGCAAAACAATCAATCAAAGAAAGTCTACATATATATATATATATATATATATATATATATATATATATATATATATATATATATATATATATATTCGCACTCATTTTTTGATTCATGAAATATTAATATAATCATAATCAATAACATTGTATGTACGCATGCAACTAATAAATTATTTATTAAATGCAATTATCAACTTGTAAATTATAATTAAACTAATTAATCATTTAACTTTATTTTGTCTCATATCCTTTATCCACTGAATTTTAACATTAAAATTTGTATAATATATTCACCACTGACCATTATATAGGCTGTTGGCAAAATAATAATTTAATTATTTAAATAATAATAATAATATTATTATATTATTTTATAATAAAATTTTTTATATTCTATCATTTCTTTTATCAAAAATTTAATTTAATTTCAAAAAAAAAGTATAATAAAATGCAATTAAACTAACAATTTTTCTATTTCAATTAAAAATGATTTAATTTAATTATTTAAAAAAAAATTGTTTGATAAACCTAATTGATTATTTAAATTAAATAAAAATTTTTTTCACTGTTTATTACCTTAAATTGTATATATATATATATATATAGTAAAACATGAGTATACAACTAAATAATGCATAGGAGAAGATCTTTTTTATAGATAAGCTTGAAATTATCTTGATATAAATCGGAAATTATTTTTTTAACTGATGAACGAAAATGCATATCTTGTATTTTTTTTTTGTATAGTATATATGTACTTCAAACAAAACGGTTGAATGTACGAATAATGAGAATTTTAATAATTAATCACCGATATAAATAGTAATAGGAAATGTATTTATAATAATTAATAATTTTTATAAAAGCAAAAAAAAAATTAATTTTCTGAATATTAACTCTAAGAATTAGTAAAATTTTCAACTAATTTGATAATTAGTCAATAATTTGCTAATAAAATAATAATATCTTTATTATTTCTCTCCATGTACATCTCTTTGGATTTTTACATATTAATTGCCCTCTTAATTACAAAACTAAAAATTAAAATAGACAATAATTTGCTAAATAAATAAATTAAGTTTCATCAATGAATTAGTTAAAAAAGAAGGAAGGAAATAAATAAGGAAAATTTTAGAAGGATATAATTTTTTTTTTTAAACATAAAAATAGGTTGACTATTTTAATCTGAAATCGATCATTGATGTTTAAAGAATGCATCAATCCTATAATTAAAAAAAAAAAAAAAACAAATCAAAACAAATGTCTAAAGAGATTTATAAATCAAATTTAATCCAAAATTAAGATAATGTAAATTATATGTGTCACTATCAATAATTGTCAAAATAAAAAGTGTTGTTCTTGATGGAATATAACTCAAATTTAGTGTCAAAATAGCAATTTGATTATTGTGATTTTAACACTGAATTTGGTTTTTTTTTCAACACTGTAACGATGTTGGGATACTTTATTTCATCTATTTTCTTCGCTATCGTGCTAGGCAAGTTTTTTCCTCCATTTTTAGATTCTATCAAAAATTATAATTTCCAAAAATACACATGCAGTGAAAAAAAAATTTATTTGATTCAAATATAATTGGTTACTTGACTGTTGTCAAATAAACATTTCCTTGAACGAAATAATTTTTCTTTAAGTCAATTATTATTATATTGTTTCAAATATAGAAATTATTGGTTTATTTGATTCAAATAAAAATTATTTGGTAAAAATAAAAATTACTTGGTACAAATAAAAATTATTTGGTACAAAATAAAAATTATTTTATATACAAATAAAAATTATTTTATATACAAATAAAAATTATTTAATTGAAATAAAAATTATTTAATTGAAATAAAAATTATTTAATTGATTTAAATGCAGTTTATTTGTTCAAATAAAAATTATTTGGTAAAAATAAAAACTACTTGGTACAAATAAAAATTATTTGGTACAAAATAAAAATTATTTAATTGAAATAAAAATTATTTAATGGAAATAAAAATTATTTAATAACCGATTATATTTGATAATGAAATAAATTTTTTTCAGTGTATATTATATTTTAAAAATGAATAAGAAAAAAATATATTTATATATTGAAAATATTTTTCTATTGTTTTCAAGAAATAGAAAAAACTTTTATTACTAAAGAAAAACAGAGATTTAGTTATAAATTCAGAAATGTGATTTGTACATTGTCTTTTTTTTCTTTTTTTTTCAAAAAAAAAAAAACAGGAGATCCAATATCAAGACCAATTGGAATCAATCCCTTCACTCCCAATGGACGAATTGTGGGTGGTGAACCAACGACAATAGAAAAAGTTCCCCATCAAGTTTCCCTTCAAGCTTATGGTTTTGGTTTTTGTGGTGGTAGTATTATTTCCAATAAATGGATATTGACAGCTGGTCATTGTTCAACAATGCCAATTGAATCGGTAACAATTCGCGCCGGTACAAATAAAATGAATTCTGGTGGTAGTTTACATTCAATTGTTAAAGTTATTAGACATGAAAATTTTAAAGTTAATAAATATGGAGTTCCAGAAGATGATATTGCATTAATGGAATTGGCAACAAATTTAAAATTTGACACAACAAGACAAGCAATTTTACTTTTTAAACAAAATGAAAATGTTAATGAAGGTGTTGAATCAACAATTACTGGATGGGGACGATTATCTGAAAGTGGAACAAATCCAAGTGTTTTACAAACTGTAAATATTCCAATTGTTGGGAAAATGTCATGTAATATTGCTTATGAATCATTTGGTGGTTTACCTAATGGTCAAATATGTGCTGCATTTCCTGAAGGTGGAAAAGATTCATGTCAAGGTGATTCTGGTGGTCCATTGACTGTTAATGGAAGATTGGCTGGTATTGTATCGTGGGGAAATGGATGCGCTAAAAAAGGATATCCTGGAGTTTACACGGAAGTTGGTAGTTATCATGATTGGATTGTAAAAAATGCTGGTCTTTAAATATATATAAATATTAATGATCAAGGAGAAAAAGGATAATTAATTTTTTTTTCTTCATATTTATAAGAAAAATGATGAATTTATTAATTAAATATTGAAAAAAGAAAAAAAAATTGTGGAACTAGCTATTTTATTTAAAAATGTTTAGTTTTTTAAAAAACATTTTCTTTTTTGTTAGTAAATAAAATATGCCTAAAAAATGATTTTGTGTAATTTTCATAAATAGTTAGCAAATTAGGGTTTTTGTCGGAAAACAACGGTATCTAATTTTTTAATTTTGTTAGCAGTAGTAAAAGTACGTTTTAGTTGAACACAATGTTTATCTATTCTTTGTAAATTTGGTATAAGTAGAAAACGCCATTTTTAGTCAGACAACACGATTAAAATTCTTCAAAATTTTTTTGTATAAGTAGTGACAATTTATTTTAGTCAGACAGTACGTTTAGAATTCTAGTAATTTTCTGTATAAGTAGTAAAAGTCTATTTTAGTCAGACATGTAAAAAATTCTAATAATTTATTTGTATAAGTAGTAACAGCAATTTTTGGTCAGGCAACATATTTAATTTATATTAATTTTTGATTTAAGGAGAGAAAGTTATTTTTAGTCAGACAACCTGTTTCAAATTTTAGTAACTTTTTTTAAAATTAGTAACAGTTATTTTTAGTCGGACAACACTTTTAAATTTTAGTAATTTTTTATGTAAGTAGTGACAGTCATTTTTAGTCGGACAACACTTTTAAATTCTAGTAATTTTGTATGTAAGTAGTGATAGTCGGTTTAAGTCAGACAGTACGTTTAGAATTCTAGTAATTTTCTGTATAAGTAGTAAAAGTCTATTTTAGTCAGACATGTAAAAAATTCTAGTAATTTATTTATATAAGTAGTAACATCAATTTTTAGTCAGACAACATTTTTAATTTAAATTAATTTTTGGTTTAAGTAGAGAAAGTTATTTTTAGTCAGACAACATGTTTCAAATTTTAGTAACTTTTTTGAAATTAGTAACAGTTATTTTTAGTCGGACAACACTTTTAAATTCTAGTAATTTTTTATGTAAGTAGTGACAGTCATTTTTAGTCAGGCAACACTTTTAAATTCAAGTAATTTTGTATGTAAGTAGTGACAGTCGGTTTTAGTCAGACAGTACGTTTAGAATTCTAGTAATTTTCTGTCTAAGTAGTAAAAGTCTATTTCAGTCAGACATGTAAAAAATTCTAATAATTTATTTGTATAAGTAGTAACAGCAATTTTTGGTCAGGCAACATATTGAATTTATATTAATTTTTGATTTAAGTAGAGAAAGTTATTTTTAGTCAGACAACCTGTTTCAAATTTTAGTAACTTTTTTTAAAATTAGTAACAGTTATTTTTAGTCGGACAACACTTTTAAATTCTAGTAATTTTTTATGTAAGTAGTGACAGTCATTTTTAGTCAGGCAACACTTTTAAATTCAAGTAATTTTGTATGTAAGTAGTGACAGTCGGTTTTAGTCAGACAGTACGTTTAGAATTCTAGTAATTTTCTGTCTAAGTAGTAAAAGTCTATTTCAGTCAGACATGTAAAAAATTCTAATAATTTATTTGTATAAGTAGTAACATCAATTTTTGGTCAGACAACATTTTTAATTTATATTAATTTTTGTTTTAAGTAGAGAAAGTTATTTTTAGTCAGACAACCTGTTTCAAATTTTAGTAACTTTTTATTTAAATAGTAACAGTCATTTTTAGTCGGACAACACTTTTTAATTCTAGTAATTTTTTATGTAAGTAGTGACAGTCGGTTTTAGTCAGACATGTTAAAAATTCTAATAATTTATTTTTATAAGTAGTAAGAGCAATTTTTAATCAGACAAGGTTTAAAATTCCAATAATTTTTTGTACAAGTAGTAGCAGCAATTTTTAGTCAGACAATGTGTTTTAAATTCTAGTAAAATTTATTTTATAAGTAGCGATATACTGTTTTAGTCAGACAACAGGGTTTTAAATTCTATTAATTTTTTGGTTTAAGTAGAGAATATTATTTTTAGTCAGACAACCCGATTAAAATTTTTGGTTTAAGTAGTCACAGACATTTTTTGGTCAGACAACACGTTTTTTATTCTAGTTATTTTTTGTTTAAGTAGTGACATCCGTTTTTAGTCAGACAAAATGTTCCTAAATAATTATAACCTTGACATAAGTAGTAAAAGACAGTTTCAGTCAGACAAAAGTTTGTATATTTTTTTGCATTAGTAGTAAAAGATCATTTTAGTCAGACATATTACAAATTCTCACAAATTCATTTTCAGTAGTTAATATAAATTTTAATCAGACAATACAACTAAAATTCGTATAATTTTAGTACCAATAATAAAAGATATAGTTAAGTAAAAAAAACATTTAGAGATTTTAATTTAGATTTAGAAAAATTTAATTTTACGTAAAAGATAAATTTAATAATAATTGTTCTTAATTTTAAAACAATATATATGTATTTAAATTTTTTTCTATATTTACAAAAATACACCGCGTGTGAAAATTTGTGTCACACTTTTTGTTGGTTGAAAAAGAATAGTGTCAGAATGATTCAGGGGGAATTCCTTTGTAATTGATGTCAGACTTCCTAGAATTCTTTCGAAAAATAATGGGTGCGGTAACCCAGGTGCTGGAGAATAAAAATTGCTACGCATTTAGGGAATGATTCACATAAGATAAGAAAGCAAAGAATGAAAATTTTTTATTAAATTATAATAAATTATAATAAATCCAAAAAAATTTTACATATTTGAAAATTTCGATTTTTTTCCACAAATATAATTTAGTCGTTTTTTTTAATAAAAAAAATGGAATTTATTAATTTTTTATTCAAATAGATAAAAAATATTTAAAAAAAAAAATTTTTTTTTTTTGAAGAATAAAATCAGACATTAAACTATATAAAAATAAAATGTCAAGTACAAAAAAGAAACAAGTGTAACCTGATAAATGCTTCTATGAGATTACTAATACAGATAAAAGTAAAGGTCACGAATCATGGTCAGCAACCGAAAGAACACCTTGAATCAATAAAAATTTACATTTATATATATATATATACACACACCTATATATATATTTCACACTAAAAAAATTCTTTCTTTTTAATTTAAAAAATAATGTAGAAAAAAAATATTTTTAAAAAATTTTTTTCTTTAAAACATTTGTTTATATTTATCGAATACAATTGTAAATGCGTCCCTGGTCCGGGATTAAACTAACTAGTTTATCCCAATACAGACATACAATTAGTCATTGATTAGTGTGCGAATCGCCCGTACCACTGTCAAATGTCCCAAAGTTGCTTGCCAAGGTTTTTCGAAACTATTCGACTTCACAGCAGCTTTTCTCTCTATATAATTTATATATCTAAAGAAAAAGAAAAATAAATCTTCCCCAGTAAAAGTTAATTAAAATTTTTTTCCCTAATTTAAATAGTGTGTTAAAACAATTTTTTTTAAATTAATTTATTTAAAAATTATAAAGAAAAATTTGATTAAAAATTTCAAATTCATTCAAATTGTGAAAAAAATTTGTTCAAATATTGAAGCTTTATTTTTAATGTTGAAAAAAAGAAAATTTTTCCTAATTGTAAATTAGAATTTTTTTTTTTCTCAAAAGCCTTTGGGAAATTTTTTCTCATGTGTCTTTCATCTTGTTTTCGTATTATAGTTATAGTCCCTGACTTTAACCATGATTGCAATATGGACTTTTGCCAAAAAGTTTTAAGACTATTTTATATATATATATATATAGAGTGCTGACGATTTTCACGATCGACAAATTTCACGAATTATATAAAAGTTCTTCTGTTAATGATTATTAGAAAATTATACGATAGGCACTTTTTTATTGTATATAAAAAAGTATCTAGAAACATGTCAAAACTTTTAGTAACTAAACAACCTTGTCATCGTAAAGTTTAATTTTCCCACATTTATTACTATTTAATTTTTATTTAAAAAATTTTTTTTTTTAATTTCTTAAAAAACCAATATTTTTATTTAAAAAATAAAAATTTATTTTATATTTATTAATATGAAAAAAAAATTCATAATTATAAATTCGATGTATATTTTTTCCAAACTCTTTATTGTAACTCATATAAAGATTAATTGAAAATAACTGTAGTTAATTTTAATTACAATGATAAATTGACTGATTGTATTTTATATTAGTTTCCTGTGTAGTCTCTATTGCATACAAACTTAATAATTAAAAAAAAAAAAAACAGTTTCATTCATACAATATATATGACATATTCCTGACTTATAATAAGGACGAATATCTATGAATTATTTTTAGCATTGGCGACTGATGCAGAAATTATAAACGATCGATGTTTGACAATTCAGGTCAGTCGATTTATGACTGCGAATCAAAAAATAATGACTTTCAAATAAATGCCAAACAAAATTTTTCAAAATAATTCATAACACTTTGCAAATATTTTTTATATGAAGCATATATATCATTGCACGATGTGGCAACTAGTAAAACAAGCTTCTTATCATTAATTTACCATTTTAAACTAATTTAAATATTAAAATTTATATTTTCTTAATCAAATTTTTATTTAAAAAAAAATTATTTAATTTTTTATTTATTTCTCAATTTTAAGAAACAATACAATTAATTCTAAATTTCTTTGTTATAAATATATACAATATATATTCTAAAATGTTATTACGATATTGACACATTTTATGTAAACTTTTACTACTATTATAGGTCGTTATACTTTGAAACAAATATAACGATTCACTTTATAATTTATAATGCTATAACGCTTATCATAAGAAAAAGTCTCAGCAATGCAATTTACATTCTTAATTAATTATAGTCCATTAGACTTTGGTTTATTTACGATAAATAATAAATAAAATCAATATAGATTTTAATAACAATGCGGGAAAATAAATCCTTATATCTTTATATATATATATAATAATATCTTTATAAAAAAAAGTGTGCACAATTGGCATATAATAAGGTCTATTATATATAAAATGACTTATACATGAATATGCACAAATTCTCCTTGAATATTTTTTCAACAAGGAGAAACCTTATAATTCGTCGATCTCATTAAATTCATCGTGAATAAGGCATCGAAAATTTACCCCGAGAGAAATTTTTATATCGAAAAATTTTTTTTTCCATATATATTTTTATAATTTTCTACTTTTATCAAAACTAATAATTTTTTTTCAAATAAATATTTCAAAAAAAAAAAAAAAAAAGTGAAAAATGCTAAAAAAAATAATTTCCAACAACAAATATAAATAAACAAATAAATATCATTAATTTAATTATAAAAATAATTTTTCTTTCAATTAACTAAATATAATATAATTAAATTAATTAATTATAAATAAATATAATAATAATAATAATAATAATAATAATAATAATAATAATAATAATAATAATACTATAATAATACTATAATAATAATTAAAATGAATTATAATTAATTAAATTAATATAATTAAATAATTGAAACCTTTGTTTAAAAATAAAATTTTAGAGTTAAATTTTGAAAACTAATAAAAATTTACTTTACTTATTTTTTTTTTTCATTTTTCCTTAAATTATTCATTAAAAAAAAATTTACAAAGAGATGAAAATATAGTTTCTATATAGGAAGTTTTTTTATTTTTTGACATTGATGCTTTAAACGTTCAATTAAAATGTTCAAAAAGAACGAAAGAGAGATGAAAAATGTTCATTAATTCTCGTAGATTGGATAGCTCCATTTAAAAATCATAGATATATAGAAAATCTGTGTGAAATATATATTTCAAGTGTGCGACATCGCGAAACAATGAAGCACTCATAATTTCCTATTTAAAGACACTATTTCTCGTGCTTTGAGATTCTTTAACCATCTCTCTATCTTTATTTTATATATACATATATATATTTAATTCAAAGAACTGTTCACTAAAGCTCTCGCGATTGAAAAAGCTATAAATTTCGAAAATATGAAAACTTTCAACGACGTAAATTTCAAAATGAAAATACATAAATAATTTACTCAAGGATTTATAGAGATGTGTGTATATATTTAATTAATTTTCATCAATATAATTAAGATCAAATATTATAAATACGAAATTTTTCAATATTGAAATTATTTTTTTTAATTTAGGAGTGTAATTTTTTTTTTTTTTTTTTTTAATATCGTCCAAAAAATTTGCAAAATGAAATTGTATTATATTAATTTTAAATGCAATTATATAGATGAATAGAGTGATTTTTCTTGACCTTGACATTTTAAGCGTCACAATTGAATGCAATTACTTAAAATTTGCCCAAGGTTATTATTGTCGGGCTATATAAATGAGGTTTAGGCAGCTTTTTAAAGCGACTTATGTATATATATATATATTCGAAACATAATTACATTTTGCTGTGTATATTGAATAGATTAATATAGTTAATTTAGGCGAATGTCATCACTAATTGCCAAACTTGATAACATCAATTTTCACGCTGATGAAAGGACACTAACTCTTCGCTCAATATTGATCCATCAATGAAAAAAAAAAAAATTCATTGTCACCTTTAGTAATATAAAACTTTTTTAAAAAATTAAATTTTTTTTTTTTTATTCGAAACTGAAAAAAATATTTGCATTCAAAAAAAAAAAAAAAGATTAGATAAATCAATTTTTAACTCGCGAGTCATTCATTTTACTGAACATTAATTATGCGCCCTTTTTTAAGGTCACAATATGTTACCGCGAACGTGTATGTGATATTAATTTTTACCTCCTTTTTTTTGTCATTATAAATATTTTCAGTTTTATTTCATTATAAATAATTTAATTTCATAAAAATGTATCGTGTAAATTTTTATTTAATGAAAATTTTTACTTCGATAGTTTATATTTGATTAAAAAAAAAAAAAGTCACAAAATAACTTCATTAACTAAATAACAAAAAATTTTAACTTCTTCGACAATTTAAGTTTATTATACGAATATATATTTAGAAATGAAATTTTGTAGTAAAACTACTTTTTCTCTCTAGTTACAAAATGTATACTTGACCAGACGACTTTATTTGATACTTAAAAATTTATATATCTTTCTTAATTTTCCTTTTTTTCTATACTAAAAAGAAATTTTTTTTTAACGAATTCCTTTTTTTATGTGATTAAAAAAAAATTTTAATTATTTTTAAAACTTTACCATCATGGGGATTAATGCCGCGTTATATAAAATGGTTGTGACAGTTATGAATAGTCTGATTAGTAAATTTCTGAAACTTTCCTAAGTTGTTGGAGGAGAGATAAGGAACAGTTCATGAATACCGGATGAAGTCGATTAACCGAACCACTGAATGAATTTTATCTTTGCGCATTTTTCCCTTTTTCTCTAACCCTATATTTACCACTCTAAAAATAAATTAAAATTTAATTATTGCAAAATTTGTAAATTATAATTTTTACAAAAATATTTTTGTAAATAAAAAAATAATTTTTGTTATTTTTTTCCAAATTAAAAAAAAAAGAATTCTCGTTTCAGGAAGGTAAATAAGAGGCTTAAAAGGAAAACCATTGACCAAAGAGCGGAAAACCTCCTAATCTCATTCTGATTCTATTCACCGGAGAGTTGTCTCATGAATGTCTCGTTGTGCGAGGACAAAACCCTCTCGAGAATCTATATATATATTCCAGTATAAACTAATAATAAAGCCTCTGAAATCATGAATAATTTTCAATTCGCATAGAAAGAGTGACAAGGAAAATTAAAAAAGGAAAGAAAAAAAAATTCTGAATATATAAAATTTGTGGGATTAAAACCAGGAAATTGAAATACAAATATTTTACGTAGAAATTAAAAAAGAAAAAAAAACACAAATTTTGCAAAAAGAAAATTTTTTTTTTTTAACACACATTATAATAAATTCATCTCGTAATGTGTTTTACTAGAAACCAGGTTACGATCTTCAACTAGAATTAGCATATATTAAAGAAAATGTACACTTGGCACAATTTTAAAATTGTTTCGAATATTTTATAGTATTTCCTTTTTTTCGCGCATAACATAAGAATAAGAATAAAAATATAGCCTTTCATATTACGAGATTTATATTTTAATTATTTTTTTCAATATCTATATATAATGCGAAATTAAAAATATCTATATGGGAAAAATTATTAAAAAATTAATTGAAAATAAAATAGTCGAATATTCATTGCGCGCAAAGAATTAATATTTCTATTTTACATTTTTTAATTAATAAAAAATATTTATGAATAAATCATATAATAAAGAGCGGCAAAATTCATTATGGAAAATATATTGATAAAATTAAAAAAAAATTTTTTTTTATATTTTAATGTTAGGTATGTATATTTTTAATATTCCACCAAAGGAATTTTAATTAAAAATTGCATTTTTAATGATAAAATACCAAGTAAAGTAAAAAATTATTAAAATTTATTTTTTTAGCTTCGATTTTTCTAAAATAGAAATCTCTTCAAAAAAAAGAAGAAAAAAAAATTTATCAAATTCAGTTTGAAAATTAAGTAATTTTATTGAACAGTGACTTTAACGAGATTGGACTAAATTATGAAAACTGCTTTCAGGTGCGGTTCAGATCGATGCCGATCTTGGCTAAGCTTCAGAATTATTTCATTTGTTAAAAATTTATCATTTCTTATTTATGTTTTAATACATTATTTCTATATTTCGAAAAAAAAGACAAATTATCATATATACTTTAGCAAAAAAAAAAAAAAAAATTTCAGAAAGAAAAATTCTTTGAAAAATTCTTCGGTATAAGAATAAAAATTTTATCTAAAAACCGATTTCCTTGTCCGCTTTTTGTAAAATAAAATATTTTTATTTCTAAAGAACATATATAGAAAAAGATCAATTCTGGCCCGTTTACAGAAGGATTTTGAATTTTTAGACACAATGCCATTGTCGCGTAAATATGCCGAAATAAATTTAAGCGCTCAGCTTCAAGTGCGTTTGGCAGGCAATCAAAGTATATAGCAAAAGAAATAAAAGAGACTTACAGAATTTGTCGGTAGCGATGAATGCAATAAGAATAACAAACAACAACAATAACAAAAAAAAAAAAAAATTTTTTTTAAATACCCAAAAAGTCACACTGAACTATTTTTGTATAATTAAAAAAAAAAAAATTTACCACGAAAAAAAAAAATTAATAATCACTGATAAATAATAATTTTTTTTTTTTTTTTCTTTTTTGAGAAACCCGCCTCGACAAACTATTTAATATACACTGTGCGAAAACGTTCGCGGCGAGCATAACACTGAGGGTTGTTTCTTCCTGAAGCACTACACCACTGCCACCCTTCGTCGAACAATGTCACTATTCAAAAGCTTTCATTATTTATAATTTTTTTTTTTTCAAAGTAAGCTCTATTTATATTTTTCAAATTTCACCTCCCATGTGGAAAAAGTAAATATAATTTATATTTTAAATTGAGTATATATTTTTTATATTTAAATTATGTAAAAATTATATTTAATTTTTGTTCATGGCAAAAAATTAAATATAATTTAAATATAATTTATATATAAAATATATATACTCAATTTGCAATATAAATTTTATTTACTTTTTCCACATGGGCTTAATAAAAAAAAAATTGAACAATGGAAATTGTTTCATAAAAAATTTTTTTATTATTGTATAATTCTTCTTTCATATAAAATTATTTTATTGTATTTTGAAAAAATTAATTTTCAAAAATTGAAAAGACAAATATTATTTTATATTTATAATTTATTTTATTACTATAATTATTATATACTATAATTATAATTATTAATTATAGTGTATAATAATTATAATAGGAAGTAAAATAGGTAAAGAATAATTAGAGCAAAATGGGATTAAATATTGTTTTCTTTATGAAAGTTCAGAAATTAATGATAATTTTTGATATTAATTAATTTTTTAATTAAAATTTCTAATTAATTAATAATTTCTAAATTAATTAATTTGATATTTATAAATAATACAAAATATAATAATCTATAATAATAGAAGACATAATAATGAATTTTATAAAATGGAATAAATTTCTATAATATGAAAATTTTAAAACGAAATGAAATTATCATTTTATTTGTTAATTAAGAGATAGAAAAATAATAATTATTTACAATTATCATCATTATTGCCTAATAATTAGTAACTCGTATTAAAATACTAAATATTAAATTAAAATTCAATAATTATTGACAATAATGTTAATTGTTGAAATTATTTTTATTTCCGATTTAAAATTTTAATTTAGTCCTTTACTGATTTAAATATAAAAATTAAATATTAGAGCTAATAAATAAATTATATTGAATTAAGATAAATCCTTTTGAAGTTACAAAAAAAATTGCAAGAAATTAATTCAATCAAATCAATTAGAAATATCAAAAATTTGAAATTATTTATTTCTAAAGAAATTTGAATATGTTTTTATCTTTTCTATAATTTCTGATGAGGATAATATTAAAATTATTGATTTCAACTATACCAAGGAAAGATAAACTAAATATTACTGAAGAATTTGAACTCAAGAAATTTAGATGTCGCACCATTACAATGTCAAACTACAAATTTCTACTATACCAAAAAAAAAAAATAATTTTAAATAATTTCAAAATTAACAATTTTTTTTTGAAATAAATTAATATAATTTAAAACGATTTTTTTTCAATAAAATTAAGAATAAAATATTTTTTTTTTAATATACTTTTCATTTTCTCATCGAATACAGATAATACAGAAATCGTAATAATTATCTTACTGTCAGTTACTAAAATATTATCGTAATATGGTTTTAATAAAAATTATCAAGTAGTTTATTAAAATTGCCAGTGATAAAGAAAATTAAAAGAAAAGAGTGAAGGTCAACGATATATAATATTGAGAAAAAGTCTATATTTATATGCCAGTGTATATTTTGGTGTTAAAAAAAAAAAAAAAAGTTTGCATTTTTATCAAATAAATAAATTATCAGAATATCGATTCAATTAATTATTAAATAATAAAGTTTTACTGAAAATTATAATAGAAATATTTATAACATCATGAACAAGGTGAGTAAGAAAAAAATCAACTGACCTACAAGTTAAACAGTGCTGCCAACCATTTATTAATTATTCATTAAAATTATAAAGAATTCATTAAAATTTACCTACAAAACAGAAATAAGACAAATAAAACTTATATATATTTGAAATTAATTAGATTCTAATGCATTGCCTTAATTTTTTTTTTTTTTTTGAATTAAATTATTATTAATTTTTTTTAAAAAAGTATTTGAAAATTAATAATAATTAATTTTATAAATAATAAAATTAATATATAATTATATAATGTAACTAATTAAAAAATTATTAATAAATAAAAAATAATTATATGATTTTGAACTTTTGTTTCTAATGACTATATATAGGCAATTCTTTATTCCTATTGGCGGAGTTCTTGCTCGTGGAGAGTGCGAATAGGTAATTAATTAAAAAAATTAATTACAAGATAATATATTAATAAATTTAATAATCAATTTTAAAAAAAAAATTTTTTTTCTTTTTTATTTTTATTTGCAAAGTACAAAATATTAAAAAAATTTTTTTTTTCACAAAGCACTGAATTTAAAAGAAATACCTTATGAAATAAAACCAATAAACATTGTAAAACCTGATGGCGAACAACACACTAATGAATTTCGAAAAATAAATCCAATGAGCAAAGTTCCTGCTCTTCACATAGACAATCAAACGTTAATTGAATCAGTAAGCAATTTTTTTACAAACTAGAAAAAAAAATTTATTTTTTTATTTATCGTTAATAACAATGTTTTTATTTGTAAATAAATAAATGAAAAAAAAAAAATTTTTAGATGAGTATTTTGCAATATTTAGAAGAAACAAGACCGCAAAATGCACTAATGCCAAAAACACCCACTGAAAAAGCAAGAGTCAGAGAAATTTGTGAAATTATTATTAGTGGAATTCAACCATTACAAAATGTTGGTCTCAAAAGTCATATAGGAGATGAAAATTGGTTAAATTGGACACAATTGTGGATAAATAAAGGATTTACTGGTGCGTTCATTTTTTAATTATAACAAATAACATATTGAATAAACAGAAAATAACAACTAAAAATAATAATGATAAATGAAAAAAAAACAATACAAATGAATTAAAATGCAATTCTCTAAATTACAGCATTGGAAAAGATTTTATCTACTACTTCTAATAATTATTGTGTTGGTGATAATATCACTTTAGCCGATTGTTGTCTAATTCCACAAGTTTTTAATGCCAATACATACAAAGTGAACGTGAATTCATATCCAAATATTGTGAAAATAAACCAAAATTTAGAAAATCATCCTGCTTTTAAGGACACACATCCTTTTAATCAATTGGATTGTCCAAAATCAGAAAAATTATAAATTGTTTAATTCTTGACAAATTTTTTGTAATTAATTAATTTTTCTTAATTCTTTCTTCTTAGTAATTAAAATTTTATTTTTAACAAATTGATTTGATAAAATAAAAATGGGAATTTGGAATTATTCAGAAAATAATAATAAAAAGGAATAAAAATTGATATACATATTCTATATTTTTATTATAGTTTCGCAACTTTAATAACATAATAAAATATTCATTAACTTTTCTATATGTATATATATATATATATATATGTGTATACAAAGACAGAAAAAATAGGAAAATAATATAGTTAACTTTCCAACAGCAATAAAATTTGTTTTTCAATGAAACATCTCATTTTTTTATTTACATTTAAATAATTGTAAATTTTTAATTAAATATCGTTGTTTATACAATAAATAATCGTTTTATTTTTCTATTATCTCCTTAATCTATTCTATTATAATAATAAAACTCTCTATATAGCGAATAAAGAGAAAATTGACATTTTGGTCGATTTTTTTTTCTACATACGTTCTAAATATTTACCACTGATGCCGTTCTGACCCTCATACACTATATATGTATTTATAATGCTTAAGTTAATCCCAAACGAGTAATAGTCGACTACATATATATATATAGTATAAGTAAACTTATGTTAAACTTCTTTTATTTTTCTTTTTATTTTTAAACACGATTTAATTTTTTTCAACCTACCACTAATTACCAACTTTCTATTATTCAATTATACAATTTTTATGATGTCTTTTAAAAAAAAAATTTTTACATTTCAATTAAACTTTCAAATTAGTACATATTTTTATAAGAGTCCATTTAGTGCGAGGCTTTTTTTTTTTCTTTGTCAGAAGTGCAATCAATAGTACATTTTTAATCGTAATTTTTTTTTACCCGTAAACCGCATATAGAATAAACAGAGGATCAATTTTTTATTTTGATTTATTATTATTTTTTTGGCAAATTAATTGCAAAAAAAAAAATACACAAAAATTGTTAAATTTTTTCACTTATTTTTTTATATATATATGATCTTTTGTTTTTCTATGCAACGAACTACTTATATTCCAACACTATTCGACAGTGAAGGTGATGACGTCTACAAGAATTGAATATTATAAGTACAAAAAGTCGCTTAATCGATTTGAAGATTATTATTATTTATTTTTTTTTATTATTATTATTAGTAGTAGTATATTTTTATTAGTATTATTATAAATTTTTATTATTATTCATGCGACTGATATGCTTGTGCGTAAAAATAACATATGTAAATTCATGAATGGTGTTCGAATTATTAAATTCGTTTTATAATTTATTTATACAATTAGTGATAAACGAGATATATCACTTGATTATATAAACTTTAAAGATTTGATTTTGATTAATAAGAAACTATATAGTTACAATATTTTTTCCAACAAGGGAATAACTAATTTCTATTTTACAATACGATCTTTAGTTCACTATAGTTGTTTTAACTATATCTAAATATATTTATATGGGACAAAATATCTAAAAGTATTTTCAAAAAAAAAAAAACTTTTCCTTTATATTTATAAATAAAAATTTTGTAAATTAGAAAAAAATTGTTTTTTTAAATTAATTTTCATCTATAAATATTAAAGAACTTTATTTTAAGATTGTAACATTTTAATAATCTACTTTGTCCCATATAATCAAAGAGCAAATATTCATATCTGGAAATATTTCATTCTTTTTATATATTAATAACGTATCTCGATAAAATTAAATTCATTAATTAAAAACTGTCATTTTTTTTCCAAATACAATTATGAATGTAAATTCTGAAATTTTAATAATTAACAATTTGATTCGTATAAAGTTAATTATCCCAGATATATTTCAGAATGCTAAATGAGTATATATATGTAGGTATATATGTGAGTTAAATATCTCTCTATATATACTCGTAATTCTACAAATGTAATTATGTATATCACGAAATATTGACATTGTTTGCTTTTGTGATTCTAAATAATATTTACATTTAATTTATATTCTACATTTTTTTTGCGAAAATTTTCAAAAAACACAATTTAATAATTATAAATAAATTAAATAAGCATTTGGACCCCATTTTTTTTTTTTTAGAAAAAGAAAATTAAATTTGAAATTTCATTTCACATCTATTATGTATGTATGCTTTTCTGGTCCATGGTTATATGTAAAGATATTTTGTTCCCAAATAAAGTAATATTATGTTTTTCTATTTTAAACAAAGATAAATTTGAAAAATCAAAAGATTTTTTTTTTCCGTTTTAGATAAAAGTTTTAAAAAAATAATAATTTTTATTCTTTAATTCCCACTTAGCACATTGAAGTATGTAAAATAATAAGTAAAATTATATTTTAAATGTTAATCATTGAAACTCTACTTTTTTTTAGGAAAAAAATTTATCTTAGAAATTTATTTTTATATCATCATTTTTCATAATAAATGATAAAAATTAAACAATCATTTGTTAGCTGGAAAACAATTTTTTTTTCTTTTTTTTTTTATGAAAAGACAATTTTCCATGTAGGACAATTGCTTTTTATTTGCTCAAATTTTAATCGTTTTGTATATATGAAAAATAATAAATCTTTCTCCTTGTGAAAATAATGCTTTTTCGTGTGTAAAATATTTTTCTTTTGAAAGGGGGAAAATAAATTTATTTTTTTTTTATGTGAAACAAATTTCGTTTCGATAAATATGAAATTTGATTTTATATTTAAAATTTATTTTTTTTGTTAAAATTAGTGTTTTTTTTAAGAAAAATAAAAAATATATATATATAAAAAAATCTCAAGAGAATGGGAAAAAATGTTATTATCGAAAATTGGAAGAAAAAAAAAATTGAAGCTAAGAAAATTCATCATTTATAAATGAAATTAATTGATGGATTATTTTCCAATTTCTATATGGAGTATAAATAACCTCATTAACAAAATATTAACTAATACAAAAAAAAGAAATCTTAGTATATAACTATATTTGTGTATTTTTTTCTCTAATTTCTTACTAAAGTATATAATTTATTATTTTAATAAACTTATGATTTATTTATAATGGTCCCTTAATCTATAAGTTTCATATATATATATTAGAAAAATCCATTATTCGACAAGAGTACATTCCCCCATTTTATTAAGAATTTATTTTAAATTCATTTGTAAGAAATCGAATAATTATTTTGATAAAATAATTTTTTTTTAATAATAATTATATTTGTACTGCAAAAAGATAAAAATTTTAATTAAAATTAATAAATTTTGGTCGATTATCGAAACATATGAAAAATATTTTTTTTTATTAGTAAAACACTACAACATCTATATCACAGTTATATATAAACGTCTTTGAGTAATAAAAAATTTTCCAAGTCACTTTAAAGAGACCAATGTGCTAAGTGGTATTTTTAAAATAAAATAAATTAGTCTTTTTAATTAAAATCGCCTTTATGGAATTTTGATTTTTAATTCGAATTTTTTTTGTCCAAAGGCCATATGTATATTTTAATATTAATCGACAGCTAATTTATTTTCTAATTTTTCTATAATTTATGTTAATGGCAGGGGTGGGCAGTATTCGAGCCTTTTATTAATTTATATATATTTTTTTTTGGCCATACATATACATATATCATTATTACGATTGACATATATATATCAAGATTGATAAAAAATAATTTTTAATTCCATATTAAAAATCAATATATATATAATAATTCAGAAATAAATTTTTAAAATATCTTTGTCCACCCCTGATTAGTTATTTAAAATTACCTGTATATAAAAATTAAATTAATAAAAAAAAAAAAATATTTCTTCTAAGTATAGAAAAAAAAATTCTAATCCCAAAAAAAGAAAAATCGGTTATAAAGAATTTATGTTTTATTCGTTAATATTTGATGATCGTAATATGTACAAAAAAATAGGGCATCTGTCTAAATATATATATATATAAATAAATAATGTTAAATATAATTGAGAAAAAATATTAATTTAATAATATTAGTTAATAAAAAATTAATAATTTTATTAATTAGTTAAATAATAATTTTATAAAATTTTCTTAATTAATTTTATGAAATGTTTTTAATGAATAATAATTTTACGAAATGTTTTTAATTAGTTAATAAATAAATTAATTAATTAATAATACCAAAGAGGAGGGAAAAAAATTGATCAATTTTTTTTTTTTTTGTAACATCTTCATTTTCCTACTGAAGAAGTAAAATTATCCATTCTTTTGTTTCATAATTTTGTCCTTTAATAATGGTTTTAAGAGCATTAGGAAAATATCGTCGGTCTCTTTGGTCTCATTAAATGGTCGACTTTATAATTAATTCTCTAAGGAGGAAGTTATAACCGAGTTTCGTATATATATATATAGATGTATATAAACGTATTTATAATTCAGACTGGGGGGGGGGGCGAGGGGTGGGGAGATAAAAGTTTACCGCGTTTTAAACGTAGTTCGGTCTGGAGCAGCATAAGAAATTGAACGTTCCACGTATATAAGACGGATTTCTGGACCTATTTTCCCATCGGTAGACCTTCCTATTTCCATTACTTCGATTCACACGACTTGCTGCCTCTTGAAGTGCAACTGGTCGTTCTGTAAAGAAAAAAAAAACAAAATTTCTTTATGATTTAATAATTTATAAATTATTTTATCAATTAAAAATTTTACAATAATTATAATTTAAATTATTATACATTTTTTTTCAGTTGAGAATAAAAATCACTTTTGTTATATATTTAAAAAAAAAATGCCAATTCTTGAAAAATCTTTTTCAACATTTACTAATTGCCAACAACGTTTACTCTTTTTTTTCCACCTAATCAATGTAAAATTTTTTTTTTCCCAGCAATTTATCAAAATTACGAAAGAGAATGAGAGAAAAAAAAAATTTGAAAAAGCAACGTATTATGCATTGGTCCATGTGTGTAAATACATAAATCGCTTTTTATGAAAAGTAAACGAAACTAAACTCGTATCTAAAGGGGGGTTTTTTTTTTGTGTGTATTCATATTTCAATTTTTTTTTATTTTTTCGTCTTTAGCGCTTCTATTTTACATATATATTAAAAAATAATGAAACATTTTTTTTTTTTAATTTCATTTAAAAAAAAGAAAATTACCGTTTTATTGTTTAAATTTTTGCATAAAAAAAAGAGAAGTATAAATGATTATAAAGCGCAATAAGTGTTAATTAAAAGCAGCAGTGAAACTCACCAGTGTCAGCTTCTGATTGTGGCATAAATTCCTGCAACTCGGCTATGAGGGCATTTATTTCTTCGGAATCTTTTTGAATACTGCAAAGTTCTTCTTCGTTGAAATCCAGTGTAATCTGTTTGCACAAAAGGATTTGTGTAATGACGTTCCCAATATTTGATGGCCCCGATTTGCTCTCTGTTGAATTAAATTCAATTTATTATTTAAATTCCCTCGGCAAAAAAAAAAATATTCAACTCGTCACAGAAAAAAAAAAAATTCTTAAAAAATTGTTAGAACATAAAAAAAAGTTGTAAACATTTTTTTTCCCCCCCTTTAATCTGTTATTAAAAGAAAAAGTAGAATTAAAATAAACGACCAAAGTTTTGCGTCATAAGAAAACCATTTATTTTGGATTTCTTGTCATTTTTCTAATAAATATATTGATTTCATCTTGAAAACGCGTATTATATAAAAATGAAAAGAAAAAAAAAAGTTGGTGTCAACTTTACTTAAAGTTTTCTATTGTATTTCTTTATTTTTTCCACAAATGGATTTACTAAGTTTTTTAATTTAAATTCCGAAATAAATACAGTGGTTTTTTTCCACACTAATCTTTTTGTTATAACATTCAATGAGAAAAAATGACAATTTAACTAAAAAAAAAATCAGTTAACTTCTTATTACGTTTTTCATTACAATTCAAGAGATAAAGAATCAAAAATAAATTGAGAAAATATTTTCCTAATAATTTTCCTGAAAAAAAATGTTTTTTTCGTTTTTCTCTTTCTATATAGTTTAAAATTTGATTTCTTAAATAATTCAAAATTTATACATAAAAAATTTATTAAATTCAAGTTGAATATTTTAATTTCAATGAAAAAGAAGGGGAAATTTTTTACCAAAATATCCTGTCATGTCCATTGGCACGATGCGAATCAAATTTTTGCTTTTGTATAATTCGCGAAGAAATAATTGAGCCAAGAAAAATAATAGAACTAAATTTGGACTGTCTGCTGGTATACCTGCCTCCATAGCACTGAAAATTAGAGAAAAAAAAAAATTTATTTATATATTTTATTTTTATTAATTCTCTGATATTTCTTTTTTTTTCTAAATTAATGAAAAAAAAAAAAATTCATTTTCTCTTGTTACAATATATAAACGTTTGTCTGTCACTCAAACTGAAAAGCCCTTTGGTTAACCAAATAGTCATGTTCTGAGGTGACTCACAGTTAATTATACTATATATATAAGGAAATTTTGAACAAGGCATATATGCGAAATCATCTGAATCATCATAAATTATGTAAATCCTGAATTATTTATAGATAACGCTCTATATAACACAAAGGACGAAGGATATTCCCCTTTTATGTGAAACCAGGATCCATACAAAATTAATATGCCACAAGTCCCTTACATACGTGACCAAAGTTAGTTTTATAAAAAAAAAAAAAAAAAATAACCGACATTATTGTAAATAAATAAAAATTGAAAGTTGAAAAAGAATTTTCAAACACATGTGCCTTTTTAGTTAAAAAAAATTAAATTTTTATGGAAATAAATTTTGTAACATTCGCATTTCAGTAGTAAAGGTAAATCTTCAGTGAAACTGCAGAAAAATCAAAATTGTAATAGACAGTGGTAATTAAAATTTTAAGTCAGACTAGAAGATTTAATGGTTTTTTTAAAACTCTTGTGTTATCAGTAGTAAAAGTCAATTTTAGTCAGACAGTTAAAAATCCTAAAATAATTATTTCAGTAGTTATATTTTTATTCAGACAAAATGTGTTATCCTCGTAACTTTCGCATAAGTAGTAAAAAATAGGTTCAGTCAGACAATACATTTTATGATTTTGATTTTAGTAGTAAACGGCAGTTTTAGTCAGACAATTATTTAATTTTAAAAATAAAATTAGTATAGTAAAATCCATTTGTAGTCAGACAATTATTTAATTTAAAAAATAAAATTAGTAGTAAAATCCATTTGTAGTCAGACAATTATTTAATTTTAAAAATAAAATTAGTATAGTAAAATCCATTTGTAGTTAGACAAATCGTATAATTTTATTATCAGTAGTAACAGTCAATTTTAAGTCAGACATGAATTTTTTTTTTTTTGAAATTCATGTATACTTTAATTTTCCAATTAGTAGTGAATAGAAAAAAATTTCACTATAAAAATAATAACACAAAGATACTACTATATATATATACATATGAATTTTATACATTTTAGCCAATGTATTTATATATGCATATATCAAGGGAACTTTAAAGTTTATACAACATCATATGACGTGCCACAAACAGCTTTTCACCATATATACATCACTTTAAACCAATTTCTCTGTTTTCGTTAGCTAGTCTGGTGTTTGGCCACCTTAATGTGTTGTTTAACGACCTACCCAGAGAACAAGCTTGCATATATGTTTTCCTAAAAGCATTTCACCCTTTTTATATCCAACGAAAAGAAATCTGTCTCTCGATCATCATCAAATTAACGAATAGCCCTATAATAAATCATATTTCCACGTTATTTTTTCAAAAGACAAAAAAAAATATATTTTTCATTAAAACTAGTTTTCAAATTTACAAACTAAAAAAAAAAATGTACGAAATAAATTTTTTTTTATATTTCACATAAAGCAATAAAATTTTTCTTTTTTTTTTAATTTATTTTATATATTAAAAAAAATTTATTTTTTTATTTTCTTTTATAATATAAAATGTTGTGTTTTCTATTCTGTGCCTATAGTTTCAAATAACAAAAGAAAATTTTTTCTATTAAAGAATTCAAAAATTTTTGAAGTATACTTTAAATTTTTTTTCAATTTAAAAAAAAAAATTAAAGAATTCAAAAATTTTTGAAGTATACTTTAAATTTTTTTCAATTTAAAAAAAAAATTTTTTTAACGCCTTCTTCCTGCAAATATTAATATTGCAATCTCTTTTCGTATATATACATTATTATGCCACTCTCAACACAACATTTTCCGTGAATAATGAAAAAAATTCCGGGCTTCGTCGAAAGAACGCACTTTGACTTTTTTTTCACTAAACTGACATATCATCATAAGATAAAAATAGATATTCAACATTATTTTTGTTTTTTTGGAACAAAAAAAAAAGAAAACTGAAATTAAAAGTAAATCCATCAATTATATACTTTCTTCATTTAGTAAGATTCGCTATAAACAAGTTTCTCTGCGTGTCTATCGTCCGTAAAACTTTTTATCATTTCCAAAAGTTCGTTCCTAACTTTATGACACTTTAGTGAAATTTTCTTCTGAGGTTAAAAATCACGCATATTATTATCATGAAAATAAAAAAAAACTCTAATTTTCGATGAAGAACTTAAATTTGAATTTTTAATTAATTTTCCATGATATTTAACTGTGATTATAATTACATATTTTTGTAGTGAATTTAATTATAATTTTCTAATAAAATATTATTAATTCAAAATTATTTTCTGCATATTTAAAATATTATTATTATTTAACATTAATTTAAATATTTTCTGCATATTTTGAATAAAGGTAATGAAAATTTAATTTAAAAAAAAAAAATTTTTTTATTTCTTCTCACATAGCTAAACTTTTCAATTTAGAGAAGTTGACGAGAAGAATGGAAATTCTTTTCTTTTTTCAAGTTGTAAACGAGCATTGTATGTTGGTATCATGTTTATAGGGATATAAGTATACGAACGAAATGGCAATTTGATGTTTATAGGGTCCCTTCTTTTTATAATCTTCAGTAATGTCCAACATCATCTCAGTGAGTAATATATTTTTCAAAACACTAAAAAAAAAAAAGCAAAGATGAGGTCATAAGTCACTTAAACTTGCCTTTCATAACTTTTTTGTCATCCAATTTTTTAACCCCACAAATGAAATTGCAGATATTTTACGAAAATAATATCTATATATATTACATAGGGAAAACTTAAAAATTTATTTATTTTAATACATTAAAAAAACAGATTCTAGCATATTTTTTAATAAAAAAAAAAATTAAGATATAAAAAATATTACAAAATTTTATTGGTTAAAAATTCTTTTTTTAATGATATTTATTGATTTTTTTATTGAATTTTCCAGTTTTTATATTTATATTGAACTTTATTTTGATCCATATTATAGTGTTGTGAATTTTTATATCAAAATATTAGACAAGTATGTAATTTTTTTTTTTAAATATATTTTCACAAAATAACTTATACGCTATAAAAAGTTATTTTCGCAAAAAAATGTTTTATATAAAAAAAAAGTGGTTAAACGTAAAAAAATTTTACTGACAATATAAAATGATAGAAAAATTTTAATAATTCTAAAAAAAAAAATTTATAATTATACTTCAAAAGTAATTTAATTAATACAAAACTATAATTAGCTGTCATAAAATAAAAATATAAATGTGAAAATTTACATTACTGAATTATTTATCAATGATTGTATTATTTTTATTTTGTCTATATACTCTATATAGTTATATATGTGTATATTAACGAGAGAGAAAAAAAGAAGGACTTGATGATTTTTGCTTGATATATAGTGAAAAGACTTCTCATAAAATATTTAGGCTTTCATTACAGAAGGCAAATTCCCTGAGGGGATTTTTCAAAGGCCACAGTAGCTCCTAATTGCGAGAGTTTTCAAACATGAGGAGGGCAGACTTATTCAGTCTCATCATTTGCTAGAATTTAAGTTGACCCATTTCACACGATCGTCATCATAGTTTATTCAGTATTCGAAAAATGTCACGTCTCTTACCTTAGAAATTTTCAATAAATTATTAAAATTGCGATCTCCGAAAAGTGTGTTCTTGTACATGTGCAATAAAGTGAAGATAGTGACAGAGAGAGAGAGAGAGAGAAAGATCTGCCAAATAATTCACAGATATAAATAAATTATGCAATATTTTGCAAATGAATGTGGCAAAATTTCCCAACAAGTGCGCTAACAATAAAACTTTTAATTAAAATTAACTATTAATTAAAAATTAATTAAAATTAATAATTAATTTCTGTATATTATAGTTAATTTTAATTAATTTGTAACAATAATTACTAGTTGACTGAAAATTAATTATTAATTATTAATTACGAATTAATTACAAATAATTTTCAAATAATTTTCAATAATCCTTATAATTATTCATATTCTGGTGTAAGTAGTAGAAATAAATTATAGTCAGACGAAAAGTTTTCCAATTTATGTAGTAGTAACAGATATTTTCTTAAACAATTTTTTTTTCATTTTAACAGTAGTAAACACCAATTTTAGTCAGACAAAAAGTTTTCTCACTGCATTAATATAAATAGTTACCGATATTTTAAGTCAAATTGTTTTTTAAATCATCGAACATTAGTGTCAGTATTAAAAGAAAGTTACAGTCAGACAAAACTTTTTCATTGTTTTCTCATTTAGTAAAAAGCAAATTTAAATGTTCAGTAGTAAAAATCAGATTTAGTCAGCCAGAATTAATCTTCTTTCAATTGTTAAGTGGTAAAAATAGTTTTAGTCAAACATTTTTTTACAATTTTAATTTATTTTTTTTTATCATTTTTATTAAGAACAAAAAAAAATAGTTATTATTGTAATTTTTTTTTATAAGTAGTAAAAATCAAAGTTTACAAATTATATTTTCATTTATCAAGGAATAAAATGTTAATTACAATTTAATTTAATTTTAAAAAGTAATTTAAATGTTATTATAGCAGTAACACGAAATAATTTTCCAAATCAATTGTATACAAATTTACACATTTATAACGCAATAAAAATGTCATGTATACACAGTATTAACAATCCCCTGAAATTGAAATGCTTTCCTCAGGAGAACATAACAATTTCCACTATAAATCGTTGACTATAAAATCTCTGATTTATGTAAAGTTATACTCACACACTCTCTCTCTCTCTGGACAAAATATAAAATCAGTGTTACGTATCTAGAAAATTGATCGTAAAAAAATTTTTAACCATTTACTTATTTTACTATCTAAAATTTCATGTTTATATCTCTAGGAGGAAAAAAAAATAAAAAAAAAAACTTTTAATATCAACAATGAATTTTTTTTTGTGAAACTATAAATTAATATTTTTTTTTTTATAATTTTTTAAATCTTTTTTTTATTTTTACTGTAATAAACTATTGTTGTAGAGTTTAATAAATTCACAGGATTTTAGAAAAAACGGCACTTTTTTCATAATAGTAAATTATCCTTGAAGTTCATAAAAAGTTTTTTTTTTTTTTTTTTATACAAATTGCAGTAATCCTCATCTTAGGATAGATATATAAATCGACTTTATTTCGTGAAAACGGTGCTTATGATTGATCCCCTTGTGTAGTATTTTATCTCCCCCAAAAAGCTTTGGATTGTCGAGCTTTTCTTTACGAAAGCTCCCTGGGTAGATGTTTAAAGCCGCATCTAAATGGAAATATAAATTTTGTGTTTTCTCGGAAATTTATTTTTGCATTTTTTACAAAAAATTGGACAATTTTTCTTTTTTTTTTCTTTTCGAGCATACTTTTCAACATCACTAATATATATATATAAAAAAAAAGAAAAAATTTACGCACCCGTACAATACAATAATAACAAAAAATTAATAAATTAATGAAAAATTATTAAAAAAAATAAAAAAATAATTGATAAATAATAATAAATTTATATAAATATAAAAATTATATAAATTTTTATAAATTTACAACAAAAATAAAGTTAAAGTTAAAAAATTTACTGTGCATATATATATATATATGTGTTTAAAATTTGGTTTTTTGTCAGCATATTTGTGCAAAAAAAAAAAAAAAACGAGAAATGTTTGTTTTGTCAAATGAATAAATAAAAATATAAATTCAGCGCACACCGAGGGAAAGATTGAATAGAGGTTTGTTAGTTTACAAAACAGAGTCAACGACGTCGAGTTGTGCAATGCAAATTAAGCTGTAGAAATGCTAATTAAGTTGGCTGGAAAAAAAAATAGAGAGAAACATTTTTTTTTTTTTTTTTAAACACATACCTTCGCATTTGAGGAAGTACCAATTGTGATGTGGTTTTGCAAGCTTCGACACAATTTCTTCGTAATTTTCGAATTCTTTCGCGAAGCTCGGGACAATCTCGCGATTGGCCAATGCTTATTAAAAGATCGCGAAACTGCGCCACTTGGCTGTTTATGTCGTGAATATGCTGAAACACAAAAAAAAAAGTTTATCATTTTTACTAAAAAAAAAAATTTAGCCATAATAAAGAAAAAAAATAAAATAAGTAGTACAAGTCAATATTTAATTCGACTTTCTGCATTTTCGTAATTTTAACAGTAGTATGAATCAATTTTAGTCAGACTTTGTAATTTTTTTAACAGTAGTATGAATCAATTTTAGTCAGGCTTTGTAATTTTTGTTAATTTTATTAATAAATTAAATTAGTTTTAATCAGTCATAATAAATAAATTAGAAAATCAGTAGTAAAAGTCAATATTTAGTCAGACTTTGCAATTTTTTTTCTATTTTCTAAGTAGAAAAATTTGGTTTTAGTCAGCCGTTATAAATAAATTAGAAAATCAGTAGTAGAAGTCAATATTTAGTCAGAGTTTCTAATTTTTTGTTATTTTCCAAGTAGATAAAATTGTTTTTAGTCAGCCATAATAAATACATTAAAAAATCAGTAATACAAGTAAATTTTCATTTTTTTAAAATTTTTATAATTTTTTCAGTAGTATAAATCGATTTCAGTCAGACTTTGTAAGTTTTAATAATTTTATTAGTAAATAAAATCAGTCATAATAAATAAATTAGAAAATCAGTTGTAAAAGTCAATATTTAGTCAGACTTTGCAATTTTTTTTCTATTTTCTAAGTAGAAAAATTTGGTTTTAGTCAGCCGTTATAAATAAATTAGAAAATCAGTAGTAGAAGTCAATATTTAGTCAGAGTTTCTAATTTTTTGTTATTTTCCAAGTAGATAAAATTGTTTTTAGTCAGCCATAATAAATACATTAAAAAATCAGTAATACAAGTAAATTTTCATTTTTTTAAAATTTTTATAATTTTTTCAGTAGTATAAATCGATTTCAGTCAGACTTTGTAAGTTTTAATAATTTTATTAGTAAATAAAATCAGTCATAATAAATAAATTAGAAAATCAGTAGTAAAAGTCAATATTTAGTCAGACTTTGCAATTTTTTTTCTATTTTCTAAGTAGAAAAATTTGGTTTTAGTCAGCCGTTATAAATAAATTAGAAAATCAGTAGTACAAGTCAAATTTCATTTTTTTTTAATTTTTATAATTTTACCAGTAGTACAAATCAGTTTCCATCAGACTAAATTAGAAAATTAGTAGTCAAAAAAATATTTTAACTTTCTAATTATTTGTTAATTTTCTAAGTAGATAAAATTTCTTTTAGTCAGCCATAATAAATAAATAAAATCATAATAATTAGATTAGAAAATCAGTAGTAAAAGTCAATATTTAGTCAAAATGTAATTTTTTCTATTTTCTTAGTAGAAAACATTAATTTTAGTCAGTCGTAATAAATAAATTTAAAAATAAGTAGTACAAGTCAATATTTAATTCGACTTTCTGCATTTTCGTAATTTTAACAGTAGTATGAATCAATTTTAGTCAGGCTTTGTAATTTTTGTTAATTTTATTAATAAATTAAATTAGTTTTAATCAGTCATAATAAATAAATTAGAAAATCAGTAGTAAAAGTCAATATTTAGTCAGACTTTGCAATTTTTTTTCTATTTTCTAAGTAGAAAAATTTGGTTTTAGTCAGCCGTTATAAATAAATTAGAAAATCAGTAGTACAAGTCAACTTTCATTTTTTTTTAATTTTTATAATTTTACCAGTAGTATAAATCGATTTCAGACTTTTTCGGTAATTTTAAAAGTAGGTAAATAAAATCAGTTTTTGTCAATTATTATTAATCATTGTAATTTTATCAGTAGTACAAGTTGGTTTTAGTCAGACATAATTACTAAAGTTGACAATAATACTAAAACTAATAAATTTTACAAAAATATTTCTAAAATTCATTTTTTTTTGCAATAATTTCTATTTTCTTTGTATAAAAAATAATATTTTTACAAAAATTATTTAATAAATATAATTAGACTGTTAAATGAAAAAAAAAATGGAATTATTGAAAAAAATATTGTATCAAATGTTTTGTTTATATAAACAATGTGGCGAACTTAATTAAATGGTGTTAATAATCTATGTGATAAGCATTATAATCAATTCACCTCTTTGCAAATATTTATGTCACCGTTATATAAGCTTGCAAGCGTTACAATGTGCTTCCAGCAGAAAGTGAAACCGGTCTGTTTGAGTTGACAAAGCAAATAATTGAACTAAATTTTCTTCATTCCCCTTACATATATATATATACTTTGTAAAAGTCATATATTGTAAAATGATTAAAGAATTTAAAAAAGATCCATCAATATTGTCAGATGTGATTTCTTCGTAAAATTTTTTTTTTTTTTTATAAATATAAACTCTATTGGTATTAACTTCAACTCTTTTTTTTATTAAAAAAAAGTGTATTAAAAATAACAGATTTACTTTTTAATTTAAAAATGTTGCATAAGAAAATATTACCTAAGAGAAACTTGATATGATAAAAAATGTAAAAAATGACATAAAAAAAAAATATTGCATTTGCCATATTCTAATGTTACTATGCAATTTTTTTTTCTCTAATATCTCTTTTATATAAAAAAGAAAATTGAAAAAATTTCGAAATAAGACAAAAATAAGAAAACTCTTCTATTTTTTAATTAATTAAAATAATAAAAAAGAGTGAAGAAATAATTTTCAAAAAATAAAATGACTGCGAATGAAATTTTTTTTTTTTTTTTGTTGAAGTAATTCATTAATGGATAATGCAACTTACAAACTTTCATCTTGTTAATAGAGTATAATATAATTTTGTTGGGTAAAATCCCCTTCAACAACATAAATGTGTGTTAGTTACCATTAACATAAACTTCACAAGAATTCGCTAATGCTCATGCATACTTTATAAGCCGGATAATTCTCATTAACTATACACAAACTCCTTCAAGATCTTGAAAATTAAAAAATAGTGCTACTTTTTTGTGTTCACCTTTTAAATTAACAGTTATTATTTATTATCATTTAAATATAATTAACACACAATAAAAAGGACAGTTTAATAAAAAACATTTCGAAAATATCAAAAAAAAAAAATTTATGAATTAAAATAAAAAATCATATAAATATATATTAAAAATATTGAGACGTTATAATGCAGATTTGTTGATGTAATCTCTTTGCTTTACTTTGCTTTTGACCTAATTACAATAATCGTTTTCTCGCAGCCCCCATGACGCGAAGGAAACATATAAAACTTTCAGTTCAATATATTCGAGAATAAGTGAATCACTTTCTTGCCATCAATTATTTCCAAAGATTCAATAGAATATTAAATTAATAAAAATAATTTCCCCACCAAAAAAAAAAGATGAAATAAGCAAAAAAAATATTTAAATAAAATAATATTTTTATTTTGCAAAAAATTAAAAAACAAAGAATCAAAGGCATTTTAATTATGAAAAGGGGAAGTGTGTGATAAATAAATAAGAAGTTAAGTTGTATTTTTGCTTTTAAAAAATGATAAATTTCTAAAAACACCCTTTTGACCTTTTGTGAAATATAAATATTTTCAATATTTTCCATTATATGGAAAATTTGAATTTTCTACAATCAATATGAAAATGTTTTTTTTTTTCGCATAATAGTTATATAATTGGCATAATAGTATACAATGTAATATAATAGTTACATAATTTTTAACAATATAATAATTATTAATTATTAATAATAATAATAATAATTAATAATAATAATAATAATAATAAATAAATAAATTTTTTGTTTACTAGTTGAATAAAATGTGAATTTCCATATATATATAGAGAGAAAAAAAACTGAAAATTAATAATGTTTATTTACCAACATCGAAAACTTGTTTTTTTTGATAGAAAAATAATAAAAGCTTATTTTGTGCCTCAAAGATTGCTTTCATCTCTCATGGTCTTGGGGAAACGATTCGTGAACAAGAACGCGCCCAGGTGCGATAGAAAACTAAGACAAATGGCCCCAAAAGAAATAAAGTGGGGTGGCAAAAAAAGAAATTTAAGGAACTTTACGAACCTGAAATTCTGCACAATTTAGATGGAAATTATTAACTTCACAAAGAAAAAGGGGGACATTTTTTTTTATTAAGAATAATTTATAGATATTTTGCTAAAATATATATATATATATTGCACAAAAATTACACTCTTATATTTTTTAATCAATTTTAATAAGCTCTGATAAACAATTTATTAAATTTTAATAATTTAACCAATTATTATATTTGATTATAATAAATTAAGGAACTTTTTTCAGAGAAGAGTTTTTCGAATAAATCAAATTTTTTTTTATGTTCAAAAGGAAACTTTATTTAATTAAAAAGAAAATTTTATATTTAATTTGAGAAAATTCAAAATGAATATTTTTAACGAAATAAGATAAGTAAATATTTCTCTAATTTAAAGAATGATTTATTTAAATTGAAAAAAAAAATTCTATCTTTTAGGAATTATAGCAGTAGTATAGATCAATATTAGTCAGACTTTGTAATTTTTGGGTAATTTTATTAGTAAATAAAATCAGTTTTAGTCAGACAAAATTAGAAAATCAGTAGTAGAAGTCAATATTTATTCAGACTTTGCAATTTTTTTCTATTTTCTAAGTAGAAACATTTGGTTTTAGTTAACCGTTATAAATAAATTAGAAAATCAGTAGTACAAGTCAACTTTCATTTTTTTTAAATTTTTATAATTTTACCAGTATTACAAATCATGTTTCAGTCAGACAAAATTAGAAAATCAGTAGTAATGTAAATATTTAGTCAGACTTTTTAAGTTTTTGTTATTTTTCAAGTAGATAAAATTGCTTTTAGTCAGCCATAATAAGTAAATTGGAAAATCAGTAGTAGAAGTCAATATTTAGTCAGAGTTTCTAATTTTTTGTTATTTTCCAACTAGATAAAATTGTTTTTAGTCAGCCATAATAAATACATTAAAAAATCAGTAATACAAGTAAATTTTCATTTTTTAAAATTTTTATAATTTTTTCAGTAGTATAAATCGATTTCAGTCAGACTTTGTAAGTTTTAATAATTTTATTAGTAAATAAAATCAGTTTTAATAAATAAATTAGAAAATCAGTAGTAAAAGTCAATATTTAAACCGACTTTTTACATTTTAGTAATTCTTTCAGTAGTACAAGTAAATATTCATTCAGACTTTCCCAAAAAAAAATTTTATTTTACCAGAAGTAAAATATTTAGTACAATTTTCTATTTGTTAACTTTTGACTAGTATAGTTTATAATTTTTTAATTTCCCGATAAATATTTATTTATTCCAATACAAGTTTTTTGTGCAAATAAAACTTTTTTTCTTCCCCAAAAAACTGTTTTCAACTTACGTTTTAATCAAACAAATTTTCTTAGTTCAAAGAAAACTTTGTTTTGTATCCAAAAAAAAAAATAGAGAAAAAAAATTTTTTTTTATCATTAAACCAGAAATTAATAGAAATATAAATATTTAAGTCAATTTACAATTTGTGAAATTTATTTACCAGAGCTATTGTCGAGTCGGATTTTTCGTCGTGACATTTATTGGAGGCGAGGGTCGAGGACTCCGTCATCATCTAAATCAACAGATTCCGCATTGCACGCCATTCGTCATGGAAAAATTACTAAAATTGATTCGATAATCATTTCATGATTATCATTCACATCTTGTCATTATTATAAAGAATATACGTTTATTCTTTTTTTACGAACTACACTAAATAATTTCCACACTTCCTTCACCATTTGATCTAATATTTATATGCAAAAAAAAAACAAAAACAAAATTAAATAATTTTTAAGATATCCTCGAGAGTATATTTAGAAATAATACACATGGAATTTGTCTATGGGAATTTAGTAAATTATTCATGATGATGGAAACGGAAATGGACAATATGGTCCAGAGGAGAATTTGGCCTCTTTGACCCAATATATATATATATATATATTTGGCAATAATTAAGCCGGTGATAACATCCTTGGTTGCATATCAGATGTGACCAATGCTATATAGAACAAGTGGGTAACATCTGCATGTGAGTCGTAAAATTTGACATTTGATCGTAAATTGTATTGAAGAGAAGAGGAGATTAAATTTCCTCTTCTTTTTGTTGTTGTTGTTTATTTTAATTCAATTTGCTACATTCTTTTTTTTTTTTATTTCAAAATGATAATAAATATTATTATTCCATTGAATGTGAATGGTATTCGATGATTGAAGAAACATTCGATCCGTGCGGTGTGAAAACGCGCGATCAACTGACAAGTCAGTTTTCTCGTGTATGCCAAGTACGTTATACGATAAGCGCGCATGTCTGACTGTTTCGCCAGTAATATTACTGGCTCTATATATGCGAATGAAAAAAAAAAAAGAAATTCCATTTCAGGTCACCAATGTGCTGATGATTACCGACAATGAAAATCTTTCTCATTTTCACCTGAAATCCTCACATTTCATATAAATTATCTCACTTTTTAACAGTTTTATTTTTTTTTTATTCAACGATTTTCTTTATTGAATAAAATTGTTTGATTTTTTAATAAAATTTTACTTATTCATTATTTAATATTTAAAAAAAAAAATTTTTTTTGTAATTTTATCAGTATAGTACAAATCGATTTTAGTCAAACTAAATTAAAACATCAGTAGTAAAAGTCAATATTTAGCCAAAATTTCTTTTGACATTTTCTAAGTAGATTAAATTTGTTTTTAGTCAGCCGTAATAAAAAAATTAAAAAATCGGTAGTGCAAGTCAACTTTAATTTTTTTAAAATTTTTTTTTTTAATTTTACCAGTAGTACAAGTTGATTTTTGTCAGACTAAATTATAAAATCAGAGGTAAAAAAAATTTATCCTGACTTTCTAATTTTTTGTTATTTTCTAAGTAGATAAAATTGATTTTAGTCAGCCGTAATAAAAAAATAGAAAATAAGTAGTACAAGTCAATATTTAATTCGTCTTTCTGCATTTTAGTAATTTTATCAGTAGTATAAATAAATTTTGGTCAGACTTGTAATTTTTGGTAATTTTCTTAGTAAATCAAATCAATTTTAAACAGTCATAATAAATAAATTAGAAAATCAGTAGTAAAAGTCAATATTTAGTCAAACTTCAATTTTTTCTATTTTCTAAGTAGAAAAAATTAGTTCTAGTCAGACATAATAAATAAATTAGAAAATCAGTAGTACAAGTCAACTGTCATTTAAAAAAATTTTTTTTTGCACTTTTACCAGTAGTACAAATTGATTTTAGTCAGACTAAATTATAAAATCGCTAGTAAAAAAATTTTTATCCTTAATTTCTAATTTTTTCTAATTTTTTTGTAATTTTACCAGTAGTACAAGTTGATTTTAGTCAGCCGTAATAAAAAAATAGGAAATAAGTAGTACAAGTCAATATTTAATTCGTCTTTCTGCATTTTAGTAATTTTATCAGTAGTATAAATAAATTTTAGTCAGTCTTTGTAATTTTTGGTAATTTTATTAGTAAATCAAATCAATTTTAAACAGTCATAATAAATAAATTACAAAATCAGTAGTAAAAGTCAATATTTAGTCAAACTGAAATTTTTTCTATTTTCTAAGTAGAAAAATTAGTTCTAGTCAGACATAATAAATAAATTAGAAAATCAGTAGTACAAGTCAACTATCATTTTTTTAAAATTTTTTTTGCACTTTTACCAGTAGTACAAGTTGATTTTAGTCAGCATAAATTATAAAATCGCTAGTAGAAAAATTTTTATCCTTAATTTCTAATTTTTTGTTATTCTCTAAGTAGATAAAACTGGTTTTTAGGTCAATATTTAAAAAAAATAAAATGAACGTTGATAAAAAAAAACAGTTTACAAATTAATTTTTATATATAAAAAAAAAAATTGTTTCGAAAAAAATATCAAAATAATTTTTTTATTATATTCAAATTATTATTACATTTATAGAAGAATTTTTTAATTATTAGTTATTTGTTAAAATCGTATTTTCTGTTTGATCGAATTAATATTTCAATGGTATACAAAGTCAAACTAAACTTGATATTTAAACAAAGTTTTCATTTGAAGCTATAACTGTTTTAATCTAACAGTTACGAAATCAAAATTTAAATAGTTTGCACGTCGATATTTCCATTTGACATGGAAATTGTTGCAAAAAAAACAAAACAAAATTTGTTGAACTGTAAATAAAAGTTAAAAACGTGTTTTTTTAAACAAACTTTTATAACTATTGTATTTTTTTCCAAAAAAAAAATTCAAATATTTGTTGGATTTTCGTTTTTTTAGTAAAAAAAAGAGTAAATAGATGAACAACAAAATTTTATTCTCTTTAGCCATTTATTTAACAGTTTTATGACAGTTTTGATATAGTTCAAGAACACTTGCAAGCAAAAAAAGAAAAGTTTTTGAAGCTCTCCTTTTATATTTTACACCTTTTATATCAACCCACGTGGAAAATGTTTTTTAAAAAAAAATACTGATTTATTATTTTAATTATTATTCCTTTAATTTGTATTCTGAAAAATATTTACAATCATTAAAAAGTAATAAAGGGGAGGAAATATTTAAAAAAAAAAAGAAAAATATTTTTCATGTAAATAAATATAGTTTGCAATTTGATAATTAAATTATTAAAATAAACATCTATTTTAGTTTTTTTTTTTTTCCCTGTATTTTCAGTTCGTTAGCGAGAAAATATTTGTGTTCTACATCTTTTTACGTAACTTTTTCCTTCGTTAAAACACGGTAGATACTTTCTTTTTTAGCGCAATATGACATTTAATGTAAATATTTTAATATAGTAAAATTTCAAGCAACCAGACTAATTACTTAATTAAAAAACTTCTTGCTTTAACAGATATGCCTTTGTATATACAGTATACACGGTAATTATATACAAAAATATCAGTTGCGTAAAAAATTGGCATTTTTTGGAAAATCTCCTTTTTTTTAAATTTAATAATTAATTTGGTTATGTAAAAAATAACAGTAAAAATTTTATTAGAAAAAATGAAGAAAAATCAGCAAAAAAAAAACGAATTTTTTTTTTTTTCATTCACATTCGTTGACTTACTGTAAATCATATGTGAAAAATCCAACAAGTATCATTTATTCCTTTTGACAGAAAAAGTTTTCTCCAGTCATGCAATTGCTAACCGTGAATCAAAATGTGCGATAAATTGTATTAACGACGATATATATAGGTAGATATATATATATATGTGTGTGTGTGTGAAATGGTAAAAGTACATGAACCAGTGCAAGGGAAATAAATCCTATAAGAGCATCGGGGATTAAATTGCTTTCACCGTTAAAAAAAATAAAAGTCGATCAATTTGATTGTCAAGCGACTATACTATACAATATTAAACGAATAAAATCAGCCTTCAATCTAGAGCCATAAAAATATCACTGCTAAATTTTTTTTTTTTTGTATATACAGTTATTTTTTCCTAAAATAATTTCTATACAAAAAAAATAAAAGCTGAAATTGAAATTCTAACCATTTAAGATAAGACACCGTATAACATGAAATAAATAGTTTTCTGGTTTGTTTTCCTCAAGGAATATATATATATATATATATATATATACATGTCTTCTAGAAGCGTTTTCGTGTTTTAGTCGAAATTCAAGAAAATGAAATCCATTTCTTTTGGGACTATTTGTAACTCGTATCTATGTGAGAACAAATTTTTTTTTTTTTCTATTCAACAATCTTCTGTATTCTTCTCTCAAACATTCGTCGATCGAATGCCACAGATATACGTCACTACAAAAGAAAATGCTTTATTTACAAGAAAATCCAATACTATATAAGGTTTATTATGTGGAACCGAGGAGAATTGAGAGAGAAAAAAAACACACCATTTATTCCATCGTTTACCACCCTTTTCTTTAAAAAAAAAAAATTGTTTTTTTTTACATTTCTTTTCAATTTGAAATTATTTTTACTATTTGCAAAAAAAAAAGTTAATGAAAAAAATTGAATTTCGTAAAAATTTAATTACCATAAGCTTTATAATTAATTGTGTAACATTACGTCATTTATTCTACAAAGAATAATCCATAAACGTTACGTCATTATTTTTGATTAACAATTTCAATCAACGGTAATTAATTTAAATTTTATATAGTTGAAAAAAAGGAAAATTGATATATAATAAATTTTTTGTATCAAAAAATTATTAGTACAAATTTGTACGAATTTTTTAACCATTTTTTTTCTCCTAATAAATATTAATAATAATCATCAATAAACGAGTAAATGGCAGTTTTGATAATTTTTTTTTTTTTTCAAGGATAAACCTAAACTCATGAGACCCTTATGGCATCAATCATTCGTTAGGTTCTCGATGAAAAAAGCGGTTAAAACTTTCTTTCTTGGCGTTCAGCATTTATTTCTCGTTCGCGAAAGTAAAAGAACAGGTGTTTTTCTCCCGCAACTGAAGAAGAAGAAGAAGAAGAAGAAAAGTTAAGACAAGATTCCAGAATTAAATGCCTTTCCCTGAAAGGTATTTTTTTTCCTTACCTCGACCCTTTTACCTCTACAATAAAAACGATCATTATAATTATCTAGTGAAGCTGCGAGTTCATTTTATAGAGAATTCAAGTCATTCAGTTTTTTCTCCCATACTATGTGTCATTCAATGTATTTTCTTTATATAGAGAAAGTTTTTTTCTAGAATCAATTTTTTTTTTTATTTCGAAATAAAAAAAAAGTACTATTTTAGAATTACATTTGTTCGATATTTTAGAAAATTGCTTTTGAAGGTACAAAACCAAAAAAAAAAAAATACGTCTGACTAAAATTGAATTTTACTACTGCTGGGAAATTTATATAAATTGAAATTGATTGTGCCTGACTAAAATTGATCTTTACTACTTAAAAACATAATTATACAAGCATTTATAAAACGGTCGCGACTGACTAAATAGGTTTTTACTACTTATTAACTAAGGTAAAAAGAATTTTGTTAATAACTTTTTGAAGTAGAATTAAAAAATTTTCTGTCTGACTAAATTTGATATTTACTACTTAAACAGAAAGTAAGTAAATAGGTAAAATAATCATTAAAATCGTTTGGCTGACTATAAAAGTTTTTACTACTTATTTGTTAATTTAAAAAAAAAATTTATTAATAATTTTCGAAGTGAAATTAATGAAAACTTTCAGTCTGACTGAATTTGATCTTTACTACTTAAACAGAAAGTAAATAAATAGGTAAAATAATCATTAAAATCGTTTGTCTGACTATAAAAATTTTTTACTACTTA